CCTTCCACACATCACAATGATCATTCTGTGCCAGTGTGAGTTTCTTTAAATAATATATTCTTTTTATGATAGTTATGACACAGAAAGCCCTTTGTGTCCTTATTCTACCTTCACAAAGTGTTGAGGCTTCATGTGAGAGGCATGGAGGCTCTGGTCAGCTGCAGAGTTTACAGACACATAGTTTGACAAGTGTACACAAGCCCGGAGACACAACAACAAAGAAGACAAGTTCCAGCTTTAGCCCTTGCCTCTGATTAAAGCTGAGGTACCTAACAGTTTAAAGGAGTGCTGAAATCCATTGTTTTATTTAATGTCTTTTTGAAAGTTATATACCCCAGATTTAATGGATAAAGGTCCAAATAACAACATCCAGAGAGTCAAAAAACATAAATAAAAAATTGTAGAGGCAAAATTTCTATTGAATCTCCAGTTCACAAAGTGTAGACCATGGGTGTCAAAGTCAAGGCTCGGGCGCCAGATCCATCCCACAAATTAATTATCTTGGCCACGAGACGATATTTGATTAGTATTACAATCAGCCGCACAGAGACATAAGGACCGTCTTCTATGTCTTTGTTTTCAAATCTGACTTGGATGTGTATTATTTTATCGGTATGTTTTAAATGTGAAGTGCTTTGTGATTCTGGTCTGGGATAGGCGCAATACAAATAAACTTTACTTACTTACTTTAAATTTAGTAAGAACATATTGGATTATTCGCTTAATGTTCAGGACGTGTTTTCTCTTTGAAGGAAGTTTGTTTTTGTCCGTGGCTGTTGACAAATCTTTTAGCTTGAAATAATGACGGAGCCACACTAAAATATTAGATTATTAAATTGATCATTAAATAAAAAACAGTCCACTGTGTCAGGTCTTGGTTCAACAAGTTTTATAATGTTTTGATAAACATTTGAACATTTGGTCCAGCCCTCAGCTTGAAGCAAATTTGGTCTTTTGGCCTCTGATGTATTTGACGTTGACGTCCCTGGTGCATGATGTATGATATATGTCTGTTTTTAACTTCATTTCAAGAATTGTATTTAAGTTTCAGCTCTGAGACTTTATAGATAGAGAACTACTAAAACATTTCAGAAAATGTAAGGAAAAGTTGTCTTATCTTATCTTTTATGAAGGCAGGTCAGTGTATTGAAAGTGGTTTGAGTCGCAGGGTTAAATAGTACAAGAAGAACTACTTATAGGTAAACTTGTTCTCTTTTAAGTCTTTTTTTTTATTTTATTTATTTATTTATTTATATTTTGTGTAGTAAAATAAATAGATAAATAAATAAAACACATAAGACAAGACATTGAAGACAAACAAACAGAAAAACAAACAAACAAAATAACACAACACCACACAGGGCCTTGAAGACAAACAAACAAAAATAAATAAATAAAATAAATAAAAACACATGAGACAGGACTTAAAGACTAACAAGACTTAAAGACAACAAAAAAAACAATAAAAAAAGGATTATTGACAATTCACTCAAATCAAGATGGCTACTACTTTCCTAAACCACTTCTAATTAACTCATTATGTTTTGTAGAGCAGTAGGAATTGTAACATGTTAGAAAATGGAAAGAATATATACATTTGACTATTTCCCACTCCTTTTTGAGCTTTGACAAGAGTAAAAAAAAAGAAGGAAAGTCTTAAATGTATGAATGAATGTTGTCGTATGTATGTTTCTATCATGTATATTATAAAACTGCTTTAAGTTCCATAATTGATTCCGGTTTATTTATTTTTGAAGGACTGTTTTGAAGCATTTACAGCTAGCTAAGAAACCTAGCAGCTAAATTCCCACTGAAGGACTCTTATCTTATCTTATCTTATCTTATACGCATAAAATAAATCCAAAATCACCTCCAGATTCACATGTCTCTGTAAGGGTCTATGCTATGACAGGTGGGAATGTCTCCACCAATCAAATTACAGCGTTTTTAAAAGGTGTTCGCTACTCAATACAAATTCTTCATCTTTATCCTACATTTTATTTTTAACTCCTCACATTCTCAAACATGGATTTATTTGTTTTTGCGATAAGTTTAGTTGTTGTAGTTGTGTGTACAAGAGTGAACTCGCCCTCGACAAGACAACAGCTTAGTTTAATCCTGGCGACAAATCAATACATCAACAACTCCTCAGTCTAAATGTGCACACGGCTTGTTTTCTCTCTACATGTGGCTGTTACAACACACAAAAACATCTCAGTTTGTAATAACACTATGATAATATTAATATTGATAGATATTAATATTTTCAAATCCAGGCTCAAAACTGTTCTGCTCAGCTGTGCATACAACTTATCTTTACTGTGGCTGTTAATGATTTTAATCCCATGAGTGAATTTAATGTTTTTAATAGATTTAAGATTCAAGAATGTATTTTCCATTTGCAGTAAAACCCCATTGGAAAAACTGTGCAAGACTCCTTCAGTAAGCACCAGAATAGTCACTTTTTTCCCCAATAACCTGGAATTTTAACGGTATTTTTAAACGTTCATGCAGATTTTAATGTTTATGATTTGTGTGTTGTCTTGTGTAGGAAATGTGCTCTACAAACAAAAGTTGATTGATTGATATTCAAACCATGCTCGAGTATTTTTGTGTTCCTGTTTATTTTCTTATTTTTTCCTACTATTTTTCTGTGAATAATTGTTTAACTGTATTGTATACCTTGTGCATGTTTGAAAGAAATAAGAAAATACCAATGAGTAGAGGAGAAAACTGCATAAGAACATTTGTAAAGAAAATGTATACAAGAGCAATATTGCATTAATGTTGTCACTTCACACGACTCTCACATCTGCACTGTTAAATGTCTAGTCTCTTAAATGTCACATGTTAAATGTCTAGTGTCTGTGCTTATATAGTAGAGAATATCTGAATGCCTTTGTATTGATATTTTTTATAACTAGTTTGCACCATGAGCCAAAGAAAATTCCTACTTTGTGACTTCCTGTTACTTAAAACAGCAATAAAACAATTTTGATTATAGCAAGTAGTGTTTCTCACAGTCTTCATGGGACTTAATAGGAAAATACATATTATATTTCATCCATTCTTTGTAATAGTGTTTAAAATCCTTTCAAAGACGTCCAAACTGAGGAAAGGAAAGAAGCAGACGGCTTCAGTTACAGCTTGTTTTGTAATATTCATGTCGTGGATTTAAAACACAAATTATGGGAAAGTTTGGCCGTACTCCTGGAAGTATCTAGAACCAGATCCAAACACTGGGTCCTTCTCAGTCCTGGACCCGGACTCTGGATGATAGCTGAGTGCTGATTTTGATCTTTTTAAATCAAGGCTCAAAACCTATTTATTCAGATTGGCTTTTAACACTTTTAACGCTGCTTTTTTTTATTGTACAAATGTTTTCATGTTTTTTATGTGTTTTTATTGTAAAGGGCTATCTGAATAATGTGATTGATGCCACAGTCTCAACCTGGTCATCATTAACCTTTTCTACACCTCAAAACAAGTAGAAAATTGCTCAAAACTGGCAAAATGTTTCTTAATTTGAGCACATTCTGACTAACCCCTAAAACAAGATCTTCCAATGAGACAAAGCAATATGATCTTGAAATGTCTCCCTTAGAATGAGGAAAAAAAGCAACAGTTCTTGAAATCTGAGTAAATGTCTTTGTCCCATTGGAGAATCTGGTTTTAACACAGTCACAATGTGTCAGACAAAGACTTGATTCAAACATTTATTACCTCATATTTTTGCAGTGTAGATGGAAACGTGTGCGCAGATTCCAAATGTGATTCAATAGATCAATGTCCAGTGACTTAAATCATAACCACACTTTAGGAACTCTGAACTTCAAATCACTTCTCAAAACCCACCAGCTCCAAATTGCCTACGCTTAACTGTTTATTTTTGGCTTTTTATTTTTTGTTTCTTACTTTTCTTATAAAGCGTCTTTCACTGTCTAAAAAAACACTATATAAGTACAATGTATTATTATTATTATTATTAGTATAAAAGGCTTCATGGTTATGCTTCCCATTTCCAGGAAAACACACTAACACTAAATATTTAAAGTGGGTCATTTAAGTCGCACACTCCTTGTCTTGATCGACGTAATCTACCGCTGTGAATATTTACGCTCTTCCCGTATCGAGGTCAAAGTATTTTTGAGTCATGTTTATGATCTTGACCTTAAATTGACAATTGGCGAACGATAATAAACAAGGCTTAAGGAAATATACAATTTGAATAGATTTGCTTGTGTCAGACTCAGCTGCTGTTTTAGGAAGTGAATCTTGTTTCAGAAAGACGCAGAAGGATGTGGAGGATAAAATGCATGCCTTGTGTGTCTTCTAGTCCCCGGGCCCAGCTTTCGAATACTAAATAAATACATTTTCTCATTTCTTATTGGTGTAGTTTTGGTTTCATTCTTATACGGTAACGTTTATTACTTGGTTGTGGTTCTTATCTGGTTGGTACTAGTTCAAATCCCAGCTGGATACTGGTTTGAATGAGCAATGCTTTATACAAGATGCTGCAAATATAATAAATAATATGTTTTTTTTCTCCCAACAAAAGAAGTGAGAACAAATCACAACATTCTACTGTATCTTAAAATATAGCATCTTTTGTAAACTTGTAAGAAAAAGCCCCTGGAGTCTTTGGTCTGTCATTTTCTGTCTATGAAAACTGATGTAGAGATGTGAAAAATACATTCATGTGAAAACTAGTCAGAGCGAGGAACATGGATTATATTTCCCCCATGTCATCTACTCCCACTGAAGTCTGCTGTTTTTTGTGTCCTTGGGCAAGACACTTAACCCCACATTGGCTGAAACACCAAGGCCGTGTCTTTGTAGAAGGAACAACCATCTTCCCGTGGACCCACCACCTGCAGGAGGATCAGCGAGGGGCCGGTGATTTGAAGTGACTAAACTGAACCGAAACCATGTGTAAACCCGGATCGCACCAGGACCAGTGTGAAGGCGTGGACAATAGCATCAGGAGAAAAGGAACTTACCAGAATCCATCCATTGTACATGACGGCGAGCTGCTCTTTGAACTGAAACACGGCCATGAGGAGGACTCCACACACGATCACACAGCTGTTCTGGACGATCAGCGACGTCTGGGCCACTGCACAAACAATACATGTTATAAAGACTTCAGCAGACGTTAGCACACATTAACAGGCTTCAGCTACCCTGGTCTTACCAGACCATTGTACTCAGTTCATTTCGTATGGTCTGGATTTGCTCCAGTGAACTCCGTTAACAGGTTTGAGGGGTTAGCTCCTTTTGCAGATTGAAACCATTGGATCTGAGTTTACCGTGACGCGAGTGAGTCGTTAGCATTTAGCATTTAGCCTAGCTTTAGCCATCTCCTTTGCCACTAACAGAGCCCGTGGTGAGTCGAACCACAACATCTTTACAGCAATGACATTTTCTAAACATTCCTCTTTTATATTTAATAAGGTTCTGGTGTTAAGACGTAAAAAATCTAGTAATGGTAGTCAGGTAATTAAGCAGTACTACCTTTTTTACACTTTTGTCATATAAGAAGAACCCTCTAAGCCTTAACAGTAGACAGATGACAATAGAAGATAAAGTAATTTTCCCATCATTCGTGAAGCTCGACTGTACTTATATTGTTTTTGATTTCATTCTTTTTTTATTTCTTTATTCTATTGTGTCGATCACATACATATGTTATGTTCATCACATCATGTACACAACATTGTTTCAAGTACATTTTATTTACTTATATTGATTTAATATCTCCAATAGAGGAGAGCATCTCACATATGAGTCCTTAAACTCCAGCAAAGACTTTGGGCTATTTCTGTTATATATATGGCCTCTATCCATAATCGAAATATCTATTTATGAGTAGTTAGTATTATTGGTCAATATACATGTTACTCACTGTGGACAATCCCAAATATAAAGATATACCTGTGTGCTATAACAGAAGGAAAGGTTTGAACTATTACTCTGTGACACAAACGGTTACTGAGCCAGAGTTTCCTTGTCGATGTAAGTTAATAGGAGCCAAACGTCATCGCTATTGGGTTTCATTAATTCATTGAGCTAGCGGGTTAGCATCATCCATCTCTATACAGTCTGTGCTTGGAACCAGTGCATTTTGCCTTGAAACCCATGAACAGGTTTGGTAATAATGTGGCAACTCAACATTTTCAACATTCTCAAAGCTTGAACTGACCTGAAGGACAGGACCAGACACCTGGGTCAAATTCACAATGTTACTTTTCCTTTGTTTCTGTGTTAAGCCTTTCCATTCGTCGAACTAGTGATGAGAATAATAATAGGTGTAAAAAATATAAGACATAACATTGAAAAGGTTATTCTAAAAACTAGTGATAGAACCAAACAGTTTTAGAGCCACATGGAGTTTATTATGTATTAATTTTGTTAAGATTAGGGCTTTGGGAAAGGTTTGCTAATCGGATCTTGGCAGAAGTGGGATAGGAAAAAATGGCAGAGACTGTGTGTATGAGGTTAAACATGTGTGTGGTTACATTCAGACAGGAGATTGGTCTTGTTATGTACATCGTTTTTCATAATTGCCCTTCACTGGCTGCATATCTGAGCTATCTGCCCCTGCCAAACTCCTCAAGAGAAACATTGACGAGAATTTTTTTGATTCATAAATAGGTGCAGGGTTTCTGGAATCTGTTACCTACTATATGTTCAAAAGCAATCGAGCAGAATTTAGCTGTTTTGTTTTGAAATAGATTCGTTTTTCCTCTTTATACATTTGCATACTGTCGTGTGTGCTACAGCACTACACATATCGGCCAAGATATAATTTGATAATTGATTTTTTTCTTTTACCTCTTTAGTTTATTATGAGTCATGTTATCATTATTATTACATCTTTTTTTCTCCTTTATTCATTGTTTATATATACATTGTATTATACGAATATCATTTATATTATATTATGAATATAATAATACAATGTAATGTGTACAATGTAATAATACAATTATATTATGAATATAATTTATATTATATTATGAATATACTAATACAATATAGCCCAGAGTTTATTTTATTTTATTTTATTCTTATCTTAATCTTATTGTCTATTATCTTAAATAATAGACTTATTTGATGTGTGCGATCTGAGTGCTCTTATTTCCTTTCTCTGCTGTAATGTGCGCAACGATGACACTGAAATTTCTCCACTGTGAGACTAATAAAGGTTCATCTTATCTTATCTCTTATCTTATATTATTCCCAGTTTTCTGTTATTTTTTATTTTACTTTAATTTATATTTTTAATTTGATTATTATTACTATGAATTATTTGATTTATGACATTCTGACCATTTGAATTCTAATGGCAAAAAAAAGAAATATTGATAAATTAAGACAAAACAGCCTCAACTAAAAGTCTTTATGCATTTAAACTAGGGCTGTCAAAATGATCGCGTTAAGGCACGTTAATTAAATTTTTCATTAATCGCGTAAAAAAATAAAATAACGCATTGACGCATGTCAAAATGACCTGCCCATGTATCCCATAATATCACTCAGAAAGCTGCAGACACATGTGTGTGTGAGATGGCCACAGAGCAGGTCTCTGGGAATTCAAGTTTTTAAAGAATACGCGCATGACAGAGAGGCACTCGCTGTTGTTTGCTGTGAACTGAAGTCCGCCTCCTCCGTGGCCGCAGCGTTCTGACCCGGGGCAGCTGTGGCCACTCTGGAGAGAGGTTCCCACCACCAGCGGCTGTGAGCCGTTATCAACAACACGTGAATGGCGCCGCGGTAACGTGTTCATATAAGACCATACAGGCACAGGACTATTCTCTGCATGTTGTGTGCGTGACTTTGCGTAACTGTGCAGCAATAAATACACATATACTGAAGCTGAACTATGAAGCCTCTTTTCTTCTCCTGCAACGCAACTAAACTCGCTATATTAAAGCTGAAGTACGTAAATTTTCCCTTTCACTAACAGCTCATGTTGGTTGTGCCCAAAAGTAAAAGGTTGTGAGCAAAATGAACAGATTTAAGTACATTTGGTATGAATGACAATGTTTCATTTCATTTGATAATCTCATTTAACTTCAATTAGAGTGGATTTGAAATAGAATGTTAAAAATGCGATTAATCGTGAGTTAACTCACCATTACTATGCGATTAATCCACAAAAGAATGTTAATCGTTTGACAGCCCTAATTTAAACTTAGTTGGTGGAGGAGCAATCACATCATACTGATCTGGCAGACGCTTTAGACTGAGAGCTGATTAGTTGGTTCTCTTTTCCACTTATACTTGCTTCTCTCTCTATTATGCTATCGCTAGAGATTTTATACTTTCCTTTTATTATTCTAAAGCTAGAGATTTGATACTCGCTTCTTTATAATACTAAAGCTAAAGATAGAGATTTTATTTTATTTAGTATAGAGTTATTGTGCATTTATCTTGTACTTTGTGCTCCTCATTCCCCACTGTGGGATCCACAAAGTATCTGTTATAATATCACGCACACACCAGACTTTTGCAGAGGTCAGATTCTGCCTTTTCATAACAGGTCTAGCCTTTGAAACCTCTGGAGCAGTCGGTATCTAGTGTTAGGTCACACACGCACTTCACCTTTGAGCCTTGGATTCTTGTCGACCCAGTCCCCGATTATGGCCCCGAGGAGCAGGACGGAGCCGGCGACCACGAGCCCATAGACCGCCGTGAGCAACAGGCTGTTCCCATACAACTCCACCAAGAACACAGCCACCGCGAAGTTCCACATGCGATCGCCCTGGGAATCAAAGACATATTTATTTATCTGCTGTAATAAGTATTTCAACAAAGCTGGTCTCAAATACACCATCTGGCTGTGGCATCTTACTGTGAGAAGTGCTAATAAAGCCTCAGGCATTTTCTTCTTTGTTTTCAAATACATTTTACAGCTTTACATTAAACACTATCTATCAATCAATCTAAATGTTAATATCAGAGCTGCACAACACAATATTACAGAAGAAAAAACAAACAATTTTGAACAGGCTTGAATGAAGTAAACTCTAATAAAAATAATAGTAAATGTGTCAATCACGTATCTTTCTACTCACATTTGACCGTTTGTGAATCATTAATTAACTTTGATATCTCATAATTATGACTTTTTGTCTGTCTCTCTGTCCGGTTCGGCTGTGCCTTCTAGGATTAACATATACCACCTGCTGTTTTTTTTTTTTTTTTTTTTTAATCTTTCACTCCATTGTCTGCACATCCACGTTCTTGTATCAACCCCCTCATGAGAAAATGTAGTATAATATGAATATCCCCTAAAGCAGTAAAAATTGCTTATAACATGACAGTAACAGGTGACATGTTGCTGTAGCCTTAACAGACACACAGATTGCCATGTAAACAAACCCCAAAAACAAATAGCCTTCCATGAACTGATCGTGTTTTTGAAGTAATAACAACTGTATTACACTTACCCATGTTGACAGTGCATGACCCATGTAAATGAGAAATTTAGCTGAGGTGAAGAAGTCTCGGACGGCTTCTACAAAACACAGGATCGATGCAAATTAAATATATGTATGGATCATTAAAAGGTAGCCAGGGGTAGCGGCTGATTCCAATGCAATCTATAGCCTACCACAGCACTTCTTCTTTGCTCCAGTGTTGTCCATTTTAGCCGAGAAATGCCACGAAAATCTAGGTTAACAGTATTTTCTCTCGCCTTTTGTAATGGTATAGAAAAAGGGGGTCGACTCCAGCTTCGGCTAGCGCAGCGAAAATCCGAAGAGAGAAAGAGAAAGGTGGGTAAGGGGGCAAAAACACGTAAATTCTCCTGATTCTCCTCTCCAAACTTAGCCAACACTGTAGCTGAAGTTAGAAAGATATAAAAAATAAAGAAATAAAGCTGTGTTCAGGAGGCAGAAGGAAAAGGGTCTAGCGGGTTAGTGTGGCCATCCAGGCTGCTCTCTGCTGCTCTGCTCGGGGACTGCCTGGATATACTGACAAGTCACGTGACCTTATTTACATCGCGTCGAAAACAAGCTCGCGTGCGTGCGTGCATGCGTGGGGTACGTGGGGTGCTGTGCGTAGGGTTTTACGTTTCTCACAAAGACAGAAAAGAACCGCGTCCACAGAGGGGTTTAAATGAGTAATCTGTGGCTTACAATGCAGAGGTTTGCTTTTGTAAATGCTTCGTATGCTAATATTAGCTTATTTGGCTGTGGGTGTAATAAAATTCAAAATATGATAATAATTATGATAACAGTAATCATAATTATAATTATAATAGTAACAATAATGATAATGATATTAATATCAATAATAATAATAATAATAATTATGATTATAATAATAATAATAATAATAATAATAATAATTATTATTATTATTATTATTATATGAATAATAATGAATGGAATAATAGAATGAGTCTGGTGTGTGTGTGCGTGTGTGTGTGTATGTGAGAAAGGTTGGTGAAGGTGGGAGAGCCCGATGACACATACTGGTTGCCTCGCTTCTGTCAGTGTGCCCCAGGGCAGCTGTGGCTACATTAGTAGTTTATCAGTTTATCCACCGTGTATGGAGTGAATGAATAATGACAAGTGAAGCGTCTTTGAGTGTCCTGAAAAGCGCTTTATAAAACTGATGCATTTTTATGCATAATTTGTACATAATAAATATGTACTTACTTACTTTATATATTTACTTGCTTTTCACAAAGACACGTATTTATGGCAAACTCGAAAGCTCTCCTGTGTTACAGCTGTCAACCACTGACCAGAATAAATGATGTGAGATTCAAAACAAATGATCAAAATCCCAGTTTCGTCACCTTTTGTGTGTAATATGAGGCTGTCCAGTCAGGTTTCCACATTCCTCTGATCCCTGTAATTCTTGGAATGGGTTTATTTCAAAGTTTGGATGACTTGCATTTGTCCAACTATGTCAACAAAGCAGGCTATCATTACATGCCCTGAGCTGCTGCGGCCACATCCATAAAGCAATGAACCGCTAAATAATGTCTCTGTCCAGGAATGTGCCTTTTACCTCGGTATGAAGACACTGGCTTTAGGTTTAATTATAAAAAATAAATAAAAATGAACTCTTTATGTCTGTAATCAGTTCAGTTCAGATTTACGTTTATTTGAGCTCAGAGCAACACACACAATTGATACAAAAACAAAAAGACAATATTTTTGAGTAATAATTATATTTTGAGTAATAATTATATTTTGAGTAATAATTCCATTCATTACTCACACTTTAAATCAATCAATAATTATAACATTTAAACACAGCCTAGACTTATTCAAATGCTATATATGTATATAGCCTAACCCTAACAGAGATGTCCAGACGTCTGTATCTTTAACTTGACATCGAAACCCAACTATTGCTGACATAATAATAGATTTCTATAGGGGTGGAAGGTTAGAATGTAGTTAAAAATTCTAGGGTCCAGTTATAAAAATGTTTAGGTTAAAACTATTTGGAATTAGATGAGAAAACTGGCTCCATCTAAGAGTTAAAGAAATAATGAACAAAAATAATGTATCAATTATGTATATAGTGTGTTCAAAGAGATTGCTGACATCCACCAAACACGATTTAAGGGAAAGTAGTGACAGAATAGCAGTGAAAGTGTTGTGATCTGTGTGACCTATGGGCTGTTTGCCTACGGACTGATTTTAGCTTTAACACCATTAACACTGTTGGTTTGGTTTGGTTTGGTTTTTATTTTTACAGGGACAATGTTCAATAAAAATTAACCAAAAGGATATGTGCATTGTACCAGGCTGTAGCAGCAGTCCCTGAGGTTATTGTAAAATAGTAAAATAAAAGTAGGTGGATACATTGTTGCCATATATTATCAGACAGAAATTACAAAATAAAACCATACTACTGATGGCTTTGACGTGACTTTTTTGTCAGAAACACAACAGATTGCATGAATTTGTTTATATAATTTTCTTTCAACATTTCTAGATTGAAGAACCCCAAATTCCATGCCATCCATAATGTACAATTCAAGACAGAAGCCATGTTGATATTCACAGAAGCTCTTAACTTATGGCCTTATGGCCATAAGTTAATAATACCGTTTATTCCATGAATAAACGGTATTATTGGTCTCTCTTTTCAATTGGCAAAAAGTGTTTCGTTCAAATTGATTTGACCTCAGTGATCTGTTGTGTATGACCATGCATTTGTCCTGTCTCACTTCTCTCAAATGCGGAGAAAAATTACCACTTCAGCATTTTTGTGTCAGTTTCTCAATAGTCCAAAGGTTCATCGCAGATACTCAATAAATCCTTTTTAACTTTGGCTGTAACCATTGTCTACTTCATGGCATGATGGGACCCCTGAACATAGCCTCTTTCATCTGCACCTGTGGACCGTCTCCCCCGGGCCTGGATTCGTGGGCAGCACCCCCCTCCTCCCCGCCTGGGAGCCTCCTCAGTCCTGCACTGCACAGCCTCAGTCCTCCTTCTACAGCCTGAGTCCTGGATCTACAGCCTCAGTCCATGGGAGCGGCGGATCTCTCTCTCTCTCTCAATGTTGGCCTTTCTCACTTATCCCATTGGGTTTATGAGTTGTTTGGTGCCAATGTAGAAGGACAGTAATGATCCAGGACTTTTTAGGACTTTTACTAACATTCATGGACTTTGATTAATATATACTTACATTGGTCATGCCCCCTTGTGGATCTGTTGTTTGTTTTTGTTGCATCTCCTCTGTTCAAACTGTTTGATTTGATTCTCTGATCTGTGAAGGCGAATCAACAACCTCGGACGACTGCTGTTGTGATATAGAGTTATACAAAATGAAATGTAATTGAATTTAATCCTTATCACAAAAATGATAAGACAAAAACTATCTAGATTTAAGTTCTTGTCTTGATTACGTTTTTTGCAAATTCAACCAAAATGGTCATTGAAAACCACAGAATTGGAACAAGCAGCAAAGGATAGTACTGTAAACCGCAAAATCCTAAATTTAGTTACCCAACCTCCAATAAAACCCATCCTAACCCCTCCAAAACATTGGCACAAAGAACCACCGGCTTACATTTCTGTTGTGTAAAAAAGCTGCCAAATGATCCAGAGTATTGAGATAATTCCACTTTTAAGACTCTGGTCATCTCCCTTTGGCCTGTGCAGAGCCTGAGGCCGCTGGTCGTTGCTCATTCGCATATTTTTGTTCTGGAAGTGACAAATATAGACTTGGCTTTGGTAAACACGGCTTGTTGTTGTCACTGTTCAGACTGGAGAAGGATCCCGGCTCGGACAGACGCACCGCAAGGTCGTCTAACCAACTAATGACACATGTATCCACTAATAGTAGTAGTAGTAGTAGTAATAATAGCACTACTGTAAGCTGTTTGTGCTTATGATGCCACTGTCTGATCTAAAAGGCCCATACAAGCCTATTGTCATGGCATAGTTTAAAATATGTGCTTGTGTTTCCAATGGGGAAGTGTTGCTTAAAGACTGAACAGTATGAGTTCTTTCCATGCTCAGAAAGTTCAGTAAAAGAAGAAATGCATGATACAAGTATAACAAGAAAATATTAAAACACTCAAATTTCCATACTTTTTGACATATTTCCTAAGAGACACAAAATATTATTATTATATCATTAAAATTATTGTTATTATTATTATTGTGATTGACAGACGCGAGGAAACTAGACTGTTCCATCGGCCCCTCCCACCACCACCAACCGTGCACTCACACACCAGACTAATTCTAATTCAGGGGAAGTGTCTTGCCTAAGGACATGTGAGATTTCATAACACTTTTAAGCAACTTTTGTTAAGGTTAAACTCATCATTCTATCAATGTGCAGAAGCCTGTACTTTTCCACTTTATGTTTTGTCTATCTGAAGGCCAAGCTACAAGCACACCGTGGCAGCTGCTGATTGGAGGTCTCCATGCCTCCGCTCTGTATAATACACTTGCATTCTGTGTTCGTGTTGTTCGTGCTGTCTCTACCATTGACAATAAAACATGTCTTCTGTCTGAATGAAAGACGCGATCCCAGACATCGATGCCATCTTCTTCAGGTGGTAGAAGGATGCGGGCCTTGTCTGTAACATCTAGAGAACAGAAGACTACGTTTTTTTACACAAAAAAGTGTTTTTTTTTTTTTAAGCCAAAACTGAGAAACCTCAAGAGAATGCATCTGGATCAACACATGGACAATCTGCACAGCCCCTGATTCCAGTCAGGCTGTGAGCTGCTGAGACATGGACAATACCATCGTCCTCTTTTGGATGGACATCATTTGGAACAATTGGATTGCACAATTTGGACATGATTTTGAACAATTGGATTTCTGAATTTGGACATAATTTGGAACAATTGGATATCTGAAGTTGGACATAAATTGGACTGAATTGAATTGCTGAATCTGGACACTAAAGCTGAAACGCCTGAAGAAATCAACACGGAGAAGTGGGAGAGACTGTTTTCAAAGCAATATCTGGAACCACCATCGACTGATGAAGTTTGGTATTTTACTGAAGATTGTTGACAAGTTTTATGAAAGATCTGAACATGTTTTATGAGTTTTTGAAGTATTCCGAGTTCTGAGTTTTTGAAGTACCGAGTGAAGTACCGAGTTTTTGAGTTTTTGAAGTATTGAGTTATGATGTTATGTTGCTGTTTATCGATCCTGATGGTCACACGTGAATGTGTGACCAGAGGGGGGGAATGTGAGATTTCATAACACTTTTAAGCAACTTTTGTTAAAGTTAAACTCATCATTCTATCAATGTGCAGAAGCCACACCAGACTCATTCTAATGTGGGTGAAGCCCCACTGTGGCACCTGCTGTTCCCAGAGGTCTCCCATCACAGTACTAACCAGGTCATGCCCTGCAATATCTTGAAAAAAGGTCAGAATGTGCAATGTAGAACTACATGTGTCACTGCCACTTAGTTCCAGAGCCTCCTGCTGATAATGCTAACATGTACAGATGTAAACCTTATAGATTCATGATGTAAACATACTGCTGCTAACATGTACAGATGTAAACATACTGCTAACATGTACAGATGTAAACATACTGCTAACATGTACAGATGTAAACCTTATAGATTCATGATGTAAACATACTGCTGCTAACATGTACAGATGTAAACATACTGCTAACATGTACAGATACATATTACTTGCACTAGAATACACAGAACTTTATACTTGCTTCTTATTTTGCTAAAGGTAGAGATTCACACTTCTTTATTATCCTAATGATAGAGATTTTATACTTGATGTGTTTCTTTTGATGTAAGAGTTAGAGATTTTCTTTTCTTTTCTGTAGTATAGAGTTATTGTTCATTAATGTGCTTTGAGCTGCAGGGCTTTGGGCTGTTTCGCGCGGATCGCCATTGTGCGCTCTCAGGGAAGAGCAGAGGCGGAGGGCTCTGTTTCTACGTCAATACAAACTGGTGTAACGATGTGACAGTGATCTCCAAGCACTGCTCTCCTGCTCTGGAATATCTTTTCATTCATTGTAAACCATATTACTCCCCGCGGGAAATTGTTTCATTCATTCTTGCCTCTGTTTACATACCGCCATGCGCGGACGCGCGCGAGGCTCAGCGCGCACTCGCAGAGCAAGTACTGTGTATGGAACGCTTATACCCGGACTCTCTGATTATTATCCTGGGGGATTTTAATAAGGGAAACTTGAGCCAGGAATTACCCAAATACAGACAGTTTATCAAATGCCCGACCAGAGAGGAGAACACTTTGGATCACTGTTACACCACCGTGCGCGGAGCTTTTCGCGCTGTTCCCAAGCCAGCCCTCGGCTTCTCAGATCACTCCATGATACATCTGGTTCCTGCTTACAGACAGAGACTAAAGCTCTCGAAACCTGCAGTGAGGAGCTCCAAAGTGTGGTCTGATGAAGCTGTGGAAGAGCTGCGCGCATGCATGGAATCTACAGACTGGGACCTTTTCAGAGCTGCCACAGATAGTTTGGATGAATATACGGACACTGTAACGTCATACATCCACTTCTGTGAGGATAGCATCATTCCAACAAGGACCAGTGTCATCTATAACAACGACAAACCCTGGTTCACTGCTAAACTCCGGCAGCTCAGGAAAGCAAAGGAGTCTGCTTTCAGGGAGGGGGACCGCAGCGGCTACAAAGCAGCTAAATATCAGTTCAGGAAAGAACTGAAAGCAGCCAAGTCCCGGCACAGAGAACGACTACAGGAGCAGTTTGGTAACAACGATACTGCTTCTGTCTGGAGGGGCCTACGGGAGATCACCAACTACAAACCCAAAGCCCCCCCCTGTGCTGACGACCACAAGCTAGCTGACGATCTGAACTTATTTTTCAGTCGCTTTGATGCTGCCCCTGACACCTCTCCCCCCCCCCACCCCACACTACTCTAACGACCCACCCATCAGCCCTGCCCCCAGCCTAACAATAGCCGCTAAAGAGATTAAACAACTCTTCCTGAGGCTGCACCCCCGCAAAGCTCCTGGCCCGGACCACGTGTCTCCGGCCACTCTGAGACACTGCGCCAGTGAGCTTACTCCTGTGTTCACGGACATTTTCAACACCTCTCTGCAGTCCTGCCATGTCCCGGCCTGCTTCAAATCCTCCATCATTGTCCCCGTCCCGAAGAAGCCCAGGATCACAGGACTCAATGACTACAGACCTGTAGCACTTACGTCTGTCGTCATGAAGTCATTTGAACGCCTGGTTCTCTCCCATCTCAAGTCCCTCACCTCCCCCCTCCTGGACCCCCTGCAGTTCGCCTACAGAGCCAACAGATCTGTAGACGACGCCATTAACCTGGCCCTCCACCACATCCTACAGCACCTGGACTCCCCGGGGACCTACGCCAGGGTCCTGTTCGTGGACTTCAGCTCTGCCTTCAACACAATCCTGCCATCCCTGCTCCAGGACAAGCTCTCCCAGCTCAACGTGCCCGATTCCACCTGCAGGTGGATCACTGACTTCCTGACGGACAGGAAGCAGCGAGTGCGTCTGGGGAAGAATGTCTCGGACTCTCGGATTATAAATACAGGAGCCCCACAGGGCTGTGTTCTTTCTCCCCTGCTCTTCTCCCTGTACACCAACCACTGCACCTCCAGCCACGACTCCGTGAAGCTGATCAAGTTCGCGGACGACACCACCCTCATTGGACTCATCTCCAACAACGATGAGTCCGCCTACAGGAGGGAGGTGGACCGGCTGGTGTCCTGGTGCAGTGGTAACAACCTGGAGCTGAACGCCCAGAAGACAGTGGAGATGATTGTGGACTTCAGGAAGAGCACTGTCCCCCCGCCCCCACCCTCCGTGATGGACTCCCCCATCACCTCTGTGGAGTCCTTCCGTTTCCTGGGCACCACCATCACCCAGGACCTCAAGTGGGAGCCGACCATCAGCTCTCTCATCAAGAAGGCCCAGCAGAGGATGTACTTCCTGCGGCAGCTCAGGAAAGCCAAGCTGCCTGCACAGATGTTGGTGCAGTTCTACACGGCCATCATCGAGTCCATCCTCACCTCCTCCATCACCGTGTGGTTCGCTGGAGCCACAGTCAGGGACAAACAGAGACTACAGCGCATTGTGCGCTCTGCAGAGGAAGTGATCGGCCGCAGCCTTCCATCGCTGCAGGACCTGTACGTCGCCCGAGCTCGAGGCCGGGCTGGTTGTATCACAGCCGACCCCTCTCACCCTGCACATGGACTATTCCAACCACTCCCCTCAGGCAGGAGACTGCGGTCCATCAGGACTGAACCTCCCGCCACAAGAACAGTTTCTTCCCCTCTGCTGTTGGACTCTTGAACACTTCTTAACCTGTCCCCCCGCCCTTTATAAAGTCACTTTACTGCCCATCATACGTCACTTTACTTCACTGTACTGCTGTCACCTTACATTGTGTGCACCATGTGCACTTGTATATTGTAAATAGTAACTGTAACTCTATTTTAAATTTAAATTTATTCTTTAGAAGTGTTTTTTATTCTTATTTTTATTATCTCTTTTTGACTGTTGCACTGAGCCAAAGCAATTTCCAAGTCTGTGACCTCCCGTTACTTACGTTGGCAATAAAAATGATTCTGATGAAAAAAAAAAAAAAAATGATTCTGATTCTGAGCTCCTCATTCCTACTGTTCTGTAACTGCAACACTGACATTTCCCCACTGTGGGACCAATAAAGGATGTTAGGATGTTGTTTTCTGTTGGAACAAAAAAATAATTATTTCTTAAACAAATGTTCAAAGTTAGTTATCTTTATGTACGGCGCAATTTGGAGATTGTCCGTTAGAGGGCAGTCGCGTGACAGATCAGGAAGTGACTTCCTACGCTGTCCGAACATGTGATGCTAACGATGCTAACTCTGCTAGCAGCTAAACAGCAAAGATAAGTGCTCCATACTTTACTACATTTTATATCAAAATGTCACGAAACACAGACGACAACAACGAAGGACTGAATGCACTGAAGGAGGAGATGAATAAAAAGGTAAAACTTGTTTATAATAATAAAGTAAAGAATATACAGTTTATAATGAATTAATTGTTGTGTTTGTTTTAGATCAGAGAGCAGAAGATTCTCGTTGACGAACTGTCCAATCTGAAGAAAGGCAGGGTGAGTAAAACTAGAAACATGCAACACACAGATGACTGCGATTGACAATTTTTAGGATGTATTCAACAAAACAAAAATATAATGAATATAATAAATAGACCACATATGCATACATACAGCATATAATAAATCATATAAATCAAAAGCAAATTGAATGTCTAATGCTCATAGTCATTTTGCAGTGTACGACCATGCACACTGCGTCTACTTTTTAGTCTATTACCACAGTTTATTTATGTAGGACAAACTCATAAAAAGGCAACTCAAAGGGCTTAACAAAACAGTTTAAAACACCCATTAAACAACATCAAAATACACAATAAATTGCTAAATAAAATACTATAGAAATGAATAAATACAAGATTGGGTATCTCACTACCTACACTTCATACATGTTTGTAACAACATAAAGTCTTGCAATTGGTAAAGTGTTGTGAACAAATCCGAAAATCCTTTGCATACATGTAAGAAAGATCCCTGTGAGTGACTGTTTGACCATTTGGGCCAAACAGTCCCAAATGGTCCTCTATTTTTCATGTTTCTGTCTGAAAAAGCGGATTCTAAAGATGTGACCAATAAATGTATGCATGTAGAATCTAGTGATGGAACCGTTGTTCCAACTGTTTTGGAGCAAGGAACTTTAGATAGATTTTTACAGTTACTTTTGTGTGATTTAGAAGTTGGATAGGTATCCCAGCTTTAAAGTATACACACATTTATAGCTAAACAGAACCTTTTAACTTGGATGTGAACATTGTCAGATTAGAAGCTTGTATTGCATGATGTGGAGGACTGTCCCAGGTTTTGGCTGCATTACTTTGTGTGCAGCGATAAAACTAGTAGTTGCAATCCCTGAAGATGGATAGAGATCTGTCATCTCATGTTGTAACCATTATTTTGTTATTTGATTTTGATTAAGAAACTTTACCTTCAAGAACAGGCTTTATCACTGCGTTAATACGCAATTCCTTCAATTCACATTCGATGTTGTGATAAAAATATCACTATCAGGGTTTGTATTTATGCATTTGTGGTTTAATTATTTTATTAATACCCATCTGCATTCCTTATAAATTTAAATACATTTTTTTGCATTTCCTTTCAGAGAGTTTACACCCAGCAGCGAAACAGCAACATATTTTTCCTGGCAGACAAGGGTCAGACTCTTAGCTCCTGTAAAAGTAAGTATCTGTTATTATCTGTAAGTATCTGTAAGTATCTGTTATTACCTTATATTTCGGACGTTAAGCCGCGCTTTTTTCCCTTTTTATTGCTGCGGCTTATGATCTGATGCAACTTATAGTCTGCAAAATACAGTAGTAGTCTTATGTGATAATTTTTTTTATATTGTTCTTTTTTTTTTTTTTTTTACAGAGGAAATGGATGTAATGAAGAAAGACTTGCAAGACATCTAGTTCATCTTGACCATGTGTGGAATATTTTGTCAGCTGAGTTTTCCAAACGCACAATCAGACCCAGACGTGACCGTTTATGAACAATTAAAAAAGCGGGGACCCAATTGCAACCGCAATCTTACCATCCAAGACACAAATGGTTCGTTCCGATGTCTCTTTTCGGCCCACGTGCTTCATATGAGAGGAACGCTCACCCCGCAGCCCGTTCAAGACCTCAACGGAAATATCCTTTTGTGGAATGGAGAGATTTTCAACGGCTTATCCGTCGCCCCGAACGAAAACGACACTACTGTTCTCTCTCAGCATCTGTCGTCATGTCAAAGCCCATCTGAAATACTCGCAGTTTTCTCCCGCATACAAGGACCGTGGGCATTTATTTACTACCAAAAAGCTGGCGACTACCTCTGGTTTGGACGCGATTTCTTCGGTAGGAGGAGTCTGCTGTGGAAGTTTGATCCCGAGGTTAAAACGTTGACTTTGTCGTCTGTAGCGGCTCATTCTTCTGGGGAGGACACTTGGAAGGAGGTACCAGCTGTAGGTCTGTACAGAATAGACCTCAAGTCAATACGAGATGGCGTTGTGTTTGAAATATTTCCCTGGAAGAACTCAGAAACTCGATGTGATGACAAAGCTCAATGGGAGATGGTCCATAGTGAATGCATAGGGATAACAAACTACTCAAGACTTAAAATCGCATCACCGGTCACTCCTCTGAACATGTCTTTGCCCGAAGCACAAGAAATCAAAGCTGAATTGAAAAATATCTGGGATAGCAAAGATTTAGCACAACTGCTATCAAGCTACGACCAATCCAGCGAGGCAAACTGTCTAATTGAAGTACTAAGCGAAGCAGTAAGACGTAGAGTGCAGTCTTTGCCGGTCACGGAAGAATCAGTGGACAAAGACCAAGCCAATATCGCTGTACTGTTTTCAGGAGGAATAGACTCAATGATTTTAGCTGCTTTGGCCGATCGTCACGTACCGATCCATGAACCGATAGATCTGCTTAACGTGGCTTTCAAGCTGCAGGAGAAAAAGACACAGAAAGAAGCTAGCAACAAGTCAAAAAAGAGTAAAAAAACCAACATGGGAAATGCAGCCTCCTCATCCACCGCTAGTCCCTTTGACGTTCCCGATCGCGTCACCGGGAGGGCGGGTTTGGAGGAGTTGCAAGTTTTGAATCCGGAAAGAAAGTGGAATTTTGTGGAGATCAACGTGACGCAGGAGGAGTTGCAGGAAACGCGGCGGGGAAGGATTTGTCACCTGGTGTATCCTCTGGAGACGGTGCTGGATGACAGTATCGGATGTGCCGTGTGGTTCGCCGCTAGAGGGAGAGGGTTCATCACAGAGAGCGGCGAGGGGAGAGCGTTCACGTCCAGAGCCAAGGTAAAACATTCATGCACGACGCAGGATATTAAGGATGTAATAAGTCACCTTATTTATCAAGGTAATCACCTCACAGAGAAGGCTTCTTACAGAGTGTAAGAAAACTCGGGACACAACCAGGGCTCTGTTTGAGTGTTGCTAATTGCTAGTTTGTTCATCCCTAATTTTGTGTAATGCTTTCACATTTCAAGCTGAGGCGTTGTCAAAGACAGCGTTTTTACAAAAATGGCGTTCATGTGCTGGAGTTTGGGTTTGGTGGAAGGCAGGGGGAGGGAGTAGTTTTGACTTTGACTGCTAAGCGAACATGAATCATTTGCTGCACCTTTAAACCCCTTCAGACTTCCTCATCTTAGACGTTATCCTTTACAGATCATTCTGACCGGTATCGGGGCTGATGAGCAGTTGGCCGGATACTCTAGACACAGAGTCAGGTTTAAAACCTCAGGACCTGAGGGACTCTTGCAAGAGCTGTCCATGGAACTGAGCCGGATCTCCACCAGGAACCTGGGCCGCGACGACAGAGTGATCGCAGACCACAGCAAAGAGGCCAGGTCTGAATTGTATTTTGTAATATTTCATGCAGATGTCTAAGAAGACATATTGCACTTTTGTCTGATGTTAAAATCTGATATTTTATTGTGTCCCAAAATCATTGAAGTTTTGCTACTAGTGATAAACGGATAACTCAGAAAAACAAATACTTATTAATGAGACTTAGACAGATGTCAGAACTCAATTTTTAATTATTATAATATAAGACTTCCAAAGACTGAACTATTTGGCCATTCTCAGTCTCAATTTTCATGCCAGAGATCTTGATATCATGCAAAATAACTATGCAAGGGTTTAAAAGAAAAGAAAAAGGAAAAGATTTGAATTGCATCCAGCTCTTCAGAATAGAGCGAGATATATCCATGGATAACAACGGATCTATTTTAATATCTGGATAGAGTAATACTAGATTATAGCTGTCCCACCCATGGGCACAGGGGGCGCCCGCAGTACATTTGTTACCCAGACAAAATATGTCCATAGAACTCAATGTAAACTAAAACAGCTAGACCTCAGCTGACAGAGAACCTACAGCTTTCATAAAGGTCAGATTTTGTGGGCATTTTAAGTGTTCCTTGTCCTCCTGAACTTTTCCATGTTGAATCAATCGTTTTTTTTTTTAGAAATAAATCCACACTTTAGAGCAACAAACTCTGCTGGCTTTCCTCCCATTCCAGCTCCGCTCTGATCAACAGCTCTGAACGCTGCCCTCCAGATATTATAACACATCCATGTATATCTCCCTAACCCTCTGCTGTAGTCCATGCACGTCTCTATATCAATACGAAGGACATATTTTACAACACTAATGCAAAGTTAGTTTTTCTGGTGCTGTTCGTCCTTCACTTCCATCCGTCTCGTCTCTCCCAGGTTTCCGTACTTGGATGAAGCTGTGGTGAGCCTCCTGAACTCTCTGCCTGTTTGGACCAAAGCAGATCTGACTCTTCCTCGAGGAGTTGGAGAAAAACTACTTTTGAGACTCGCAGCGAAACAAATGGGCTTAACACAGTCGGCCGTTCTGCCCAAGAGAGCCATGCAGTTCGGTTCCCGGATCGCCAAGATGGAGGACACTCGCGAAAAGGCATCGGACAAGTGCACGAGACTTCTCACTGCTTAATCTCATTTATTACAATCACTAGGTGCAATTAAATACTATATAGAAAAGGTCATTATCAAAAATACTGATTTGTACATGGAATAATGTAAACAACGATTATTAAAATGTGTTTAAAACATGTAGGATTGAAGGTCCTGGAGTTTTTCTTTGAAGTAGAGGTCGCATTCAATGTAGGAAGGCAAGTTTCCAACGTCAAAACGGCCAGAGATCGGGTAGACGTACACTGGACTCCTAAAAAAAAAAAAAAAGATTACATTACTTAAGTGGTTATTAACAGTATCACGGATGCAATTCATGTATACAATTAGACGATGGTTGTCAATGGGATCTCCAAACCAACTCGAGTATCTAAACAATATGTGATAATAAAGGGAATTGTGTAAGATTACAGCGGTCATATGAGGCTGGGGGTGTGTCCCAACTCAAACGGTCCATGAGCATGTGCGCTGACTGTAATCTGACTCCTTGTTGGTGCTGGTGTACCCGGAAATAGAATACCCACTGAATTCTTATGTCACCTTTATTCCTGATAAAGTGATACCTCTGCGCCAAAAGTGTTGTTGCACCATTTGTGTGCTGGGGGGGCTACTCACTGCCATTTTAAATCTTTGCATGTCGGTAACACATACATTTCAATGGAGGAAAAAGGCGTCACTATGTTCGTTAATAAGTACAGTCTATGCTTCCAATATGGATTTTGTGAGAGATTTAAAGTTGAGGTATCTAACTTTCCTTAATATTACAGGAGGTTTGGCACTCAAGAGCGTCATGTCAAATGTTTTAAACAAGGTAAACCACAACATGCTGTCTCCATTTCTTTAGAAAAGCCTTTTTCTTTAGCATTCGAGTGAGTCACTATTTGACAGTTTGGGCTTAGAGCTGATTGACTGAGTGAAGCTGGTACTGTTTTTTTCACAATGTTCAAAAAATCTGATCTAGAGACCTGACAAAAATCGTGATAGAACCAAAATGTTTTGAGAGTGACCAGAACCAGTGAGATGGATTACATTACATTCTACAAAGTGTGTGGTTCCAAGTGGGGAGCCATACAAATAAATGTCCTTGCCCTCTCCAGGTGGGTGGAGAGGAGTTCAAAAGGGATGGATGGATGAATTCAATGTCAAATGAATGAGTGTAGTTTTATACTGAGGTAAAGAGCTCTGGGACATTACCTTGAGATTATCCAAGATACAAATATTCCAGGTGCATCTTTCTCTTCTATTGGAGCAGTCTGTTGACAAAAAGAGATTTTAGATTTCCGAATCACAATTAGAATAATTTTCATTGCCATTGTGAGAAACAGGAAGTCCCAAACCACAGTTTTTTATCTGAGCACATTCTGACTGCGATAAAACAAAATCCTCCAATGGATCACTTTTTGCAGTGTAGGAAATTTCTTTTGCTCTCGGTGCAAACAAGTTATAAAAGTAAAAATAGAAGGAAAAAAAACTTTTCTTAAAATTATTACTGTAACGAGTGCGCTAAGCTCAGTAGTGAAAGTCAAGTGCTTAAACACATAAATGATAAATGTCTTACTTTCTTTTCCTCAAAAAAAAGATCCAATGATGGCAAACTCCTCTTTGAAAACATATAGAAACACGGACACTGCAAAAAGATACAAAACCTTAACAACATTGATGAATAAAACTTGTGCAGTTTAGAGCTTTAACTTATCTAACTTAAACTTGATGTTTATATACGGGTGTTGTACGCACTGCTCGCCGTGATGCTGTTTCCGATGGGAGGGGTTTCTCTTTCATACAAAGAGCACGCGAGTCATCATCCACTTCAAGAATGCCGTATTTACAGGTTTCTGATAATATAGAAAACCAATAATAGTCAGACATTTTGAATCTAGTTTTAAAGCTGAGGTACCTAACACTCAAAGTACATGTGTGTAATAAAATCCACTAGTTTCTCGAGTCCTGACAAGAACCAGGAAGTAGTCCTGTTCTCAGGTCTCTGCACCTGTGGCTCAGAAAATCGACTTTAAAACAGCTCTGTTTGTAACATTTCTCTCAATGGCCTCAAAGTACATCTGTGACATGTGCCATATGAACCAACTCTGAAGAGCACAGGGACTGGTCCTGACTCTGGGACATTGCTATTCACCCGTTGTATGTTTCATGGTGCTTACAGTATCTTATACACCATCCATCCGTGAGAGCGGATCCCTCTCTCAATGTGGAGCTCCCCGGGGTTTCTCATTTTTCAGATTTTGCGTTTCAGATTAATGCTAAAACTGGAACTGTCTTCCTGAATTTGAGGCAGCTTCTGCTTTGGCAATGTCCAAATCCAGGTTAGAATGATTTAAATGTTTTCGAATCATTGTTTTGGTGTTTTCTCTTCTTCTAGAGTTGCCTCATGTATAAACTGTGATATACAAACTGAATTATGAAAAGCAATCTTTATTACAAGTTTGCTAAAGAATAAAAGGAAGTAGTGGTCAGATATGTTTGCAACCTTTAAATTTAAATTCCATCCATTTTCTTCCCTTTAATCCATTTCTGGGTCAGGGGGGTGGCAGTCAGAGATGCCACCCAAGTCTCATAGCACTAGCCCCTCACTGACCCTCTGCAGGTGGTGAGTCCACAGGAGGACGGCTGCTCTCTGACTGTGAGCATAGCCTTGATCTTTCAGTGGGGGCTTTGGGCAAAGTGGGGTTAAGTGTCTTGCCCAAGGACACAACAACAGCAGTCATCAGTAGGAGTCGGTGGAGAAGGTGCAGAGGTGGGAATTGAACCCACAACCTTCTGGCCATAAGGCCAATGCTCTACCAACTGAGCTACTGTCGCCCTTAAATTTAAATTTAAAGCTTTAAATTTGTATTATTAATGAATTAAAAGTTAGGTACCAGGGCTTTAAGTAAACATTGGGAGCAGCTGTAACTTGAGAACTATGGACTTTGCACCTTTTAGATAAATCAGATAAATGTTTATTCTGGAGACGTCAGACTCACCCTCCTCTTTGCACTGGTACGACAGAACCATGCAGCTGTCTCTGCACTGGGCCTGAAGCTCCTGGAACCTCTGCATCACTCGAGTCAGACTGAAATCCTCTTTGAAAAGTGTGTCTCTGTTAAAAATAGATTATTATTAAAGTATTATTAAAATAGGAAAAGTTTTTTAATAATAATACAGCGGTTTTATATAGCGCTTTTCTGGACGCTCAAAGAGACTTCACATGTCATTATTCTTTCTTTCCAAACACGGTGGTGATAAACTACTACAGTAGCTACAGCTGCCCTGGGGCACACTGACAGAAGCAAGGCAGTCTGTGCCATCAGCCCCTCTCACACCACCAACCATTCACACACACACACACACACACCAGACTCATTCTAATGTGGGGGAAGTGTCTTGCCTAAGGACACAACCACAGCACTTTACAGCTGCAGCCGCCCTACTGGTGGTGTTCCCAGAGGTCTCCCATCACAGTACTAACCAGGCACTGCCCTGCCTAACTTCAGAGGTTAATATGTAATTTTATCGTAGATACTCACCCACCGATCACTACGATGTCATCTTCAATTTGAAAATGCTTCACTGCGAGATTGAGACAGGCCACGGCGCCCAGACGGTCCTGGAAAGCAAGTTTATTTGTATAGAACAGTTCAGACGCAAGGAAACTCGAAGTGCAGAGGAAAAAAAAAATCATAGTACATTTCCACATTGAGTGCCCAAAAGGGAAAATTCTCTTGCTAAATTAGACACTATATACATAATGGTAGCTGTATTTCCTGTATCTGCCAGTAGGAGGCAGTGTCGTCACATCTTCCTTGCATGTTTCAGACAAGGAAGGTTGTTTTATGATAGTATTCACAATACCAACACAATTGCACCACAGGGAATGGCTCAGAAATGTCTTAGTTTTTGCTGCAATATCACAGTTTATCGAAAAGAAATGTGTAATTTGAATGAAAATAGCATCTGTTTATCTTAGGATTTCTCAGGGATCAATGCACGTAGAATTAAACAGTTTACACCCACTGAAAGTTTTGTCTCACCGTTAAAAGTATGTGTCTGTAGCTATGACTATGAATATCATGAAATGGTCTGAATTGCAGGCACTCAATGTGGAGATGTTTTAGAAATAGTTTAGTTATTACCAGCAGTGAAATTACTACCTGCAGCACTTTGTATTAGAATATTATTCTAAAGCAAACCTAATGTACTTTAAGTGTGTTATTATTATTGCTGTAGTTTGATTTTAGTGACTAAAGTGAGTGTTGCTTTTTTTGTTTTGTTTATAATTTAAAGGGAAAAAAAATCATATATATATATATATATATATATACTCTCATACACCACATATAAAACACAGTAATAACAGTTCACACCTCATTGGTTCTCGTCCCATCACTGATTATCTGGACGTTAGAGAACTGAGAAGCCCACGCCTCAAATGCAGCACAGTACACTGCATTAGTCTGTGGAACAAACCAGTTAAATGTCATGGCAAGTTTTTTTGTAGAACACAGTTCATACATTACAACACATTATGGTGATGTATGTGTGGCGTCTTTAGGATCGTTAGACATGCACTCCACTCGAGTAATCTCAGAAAGACAATAGGTCAGTCCTATGCGAATGCGTGTGGATACTTAGGTCAATCCCAACAGGGCAATAGTGACATATGAATGAGTTGGGAAAATTAGACGTCACATGATCAATAGACATACAGCCTATCCGAACAATCACAGTGAGACATTAGCTCAGTGACATTCTAATGATGTAGGGTCGTTAGACCTAGTAGTAGTTAGACTTGCTCCCAACCACATCTTAGAAGACCTTAGATGTGTTATGAGCCTCATGATCAGGGTTCAACACATCTCCAACTCGCGGCTGAGCTTTCGTTTCCTTGATGGTTGTAGCTGACTGACAGATGATGGTGAGACCGAGGTGAAGTTAGCCGAACGTTTGATATTCGCCTGATATTGGAACAAAATCCCCCTGGATTCAAAGTCTGTCCGTATTTTGAGTTTAGTGAAGAGTGTAGTATTAAATACTGTTCACAATGTTGCCACCTATATAAAAAAAACTTTACTTAGGCTGCAGCTGACGATTTATAACACGAAAAACAATGAAGATGAAGTCTCCGCTCGTACGTGTGATAAGCTCTCAGCAAGGGGCCGTCTGCAAAGTGCAAGATTTGACAGAACGTTGCAGATGGGTTGGTGAATACAATAAAAACTGCTTTTAAAAAGTAGTTTTTCCCAGTTTTGATGAGTGTAGCAGCTCCATTTGAACAATAGCTAGCTACTACAGGCAAGAATTTGGGAAAAATATGGTTTTCCCCTTCATAGCAACAAAAATGAAATTGGAAAAATTTACTAAAAATCAACAAAGACGTTTTCCCCAGTTTTGATGGGTGTAGTAGCTCCATTTGAACAATAGCTAGCTACTACAGGCAAGAATTTGGGAAAAATATTGTTTCCCCCTTAACAGTAACGAAAATGAAATTGGAAAAATTCACTAAAAATCAACAAAGACTTTTTCCCAGATTTGATGGGTGTAGTAGCTCCCATTCAATGATAGCTAGCTACTACAGCCAAACTTTTGGGAAAAATATGGTTTTCCCCTTCACAGTAACAAAAATGAAATTGGAAAAATTCACTAAAAATCAACAAAGACTTTTTTCCCAGATTTGATGGGTGTAGTAGCTCCATTTGAACAATAGCTAGCTACTACAGGCAAGACTTTTGGGAAAAATATGGTTTTCCCCTTCACAGTAACAAACATTTAATTGGAAAAGTGAACTAAAAATCAACAAAGACTTTTTTCCCAGAATTGATGGGTGTAGTAGCTCCCATTCAATGATAGCTAGCTACTAGAGCCAAACTTTTGGGAAAAATATTGTTTTCCCCTTCACAGTAACAAACATATAATTGGAAAAGTTAACTAAAAATCAACAATTACTTTTTTCCCAGATTTGATGGGTGTAGTAGCTCCATTTGAACAATAGCTAGCTACTACAGGCAAGACTTTTGGGAAAAATATGGTTTTCCCCTTCACAGTATCAAACATTTGGAAAAGTGAACTAAAAATCAACAAAGACTTTTTTCCCAGAATTGATGGGTGTAGTAGCTCCCATTCAATGATAGCTAGCTATTAGAGCCAAACTTTTGGGAAAAATATTGTTTTCCCCTTCACAGTAACAAACATTTAATTGGAAAAGTTAACAAAAAATCAACAAAGACTTTTTTCCCAGATTTGATGGGTGTAGTAGCTCCATTTGAACAATAGCTAGCTACTACAGCCAAACTTTTGGGAAAAGTATAGTTTTCCCCTTCACAGTAACGAAAATGAAATTGGAAAAATGTACTACAAATCAACAAAGACGTTTTCCCCAGTTTTGATGGGTGTAGTAGCTCCCATTCAATGATAGCTAGCTACTACAGCCAAACTTTTGGGAAAAATATGGTTTTCCCCTTCACAGCAACAAAAAGGAGATTGGAAAAATTTACTAAAAATCAACAAAGACGTTTTTCCCAGTTTTGATGGGTGTAGTAGCTCCATTTGAACAATAGCTAGCTACTACAGCCAAACTTTTGGGAAAAGTATAGTTTTCCCCTTCACAGTAACGAAAATGAAATTGGAAAAATGTACTACAAATCAACAAAGACGTTTTCCCCAGTTTTGATGGGTGTAGTAGCTCCCATTCAATGATAGCTAGCTACTACAGCCAAACTTTTGGGAAAAATATGGTTTTCCCCTTCACAGCAACAAAAAGGAGATTGGAAAAATTTACTAAAAATCAACAAAGACGTTTTTCCCAGTTTTGATGGGTGTAGTAGCTCCAATTGAACAATAGCTAGCTACTACAGCCAAACTTTTGGGAAAAGTATAGTTTTCCCCTTCACAGTAACGAAAATGAAATTGGAAAAATGTACTAAAAATCAACAAAGACGTTTTCCCCAGTTTTGATGGGTGTAGTAGCTCCATTTGAACAATAGCAAGCTACTACAGGCAAGAATTTGGGAAAAATATTGTTTTCCCCTTCACAGCAACAAAAAGGAGATTGGAAAAATTTACTAAAAATCAACAAAGACAGTTTTCCCCAGTTTTGATGGGTGTAGTAGCTCCAATTGAACAGTAGTTATTTACTACAGGCAAGAATATGGAAATATATATATAACGTGGGGCAAAAAAGTATTCAGTCAGCCACCGATTGTGCAAGTTCTCCCACTTAAAATAATGAAAGAGGTCTGTCATTTTCATCATAGGTACATTTAAACTGTGAAAGACATCATGTGAAAAAAAAGAATCCAGGAATTGACATTTTTAAAGAATTTATTTGTAAATTATGGTGGAAAGTAGGTATTTGGTCAATAACAAAAATTCAACTCAATACCTTGTAATATAACCTTTGTTGGCAATAACAGAGGTCAAACGATTACTATAGGTCTTTATCAGGTTTGTACACACAGTAGCTGGTATTTTGGCCCAACTCCCTCCACAGATTTTCAATGGGGTTGAGGTCTGGAGACTGGCTAGGCCACTCCAGGACTTTCAAATGCTTCTTACGGAGCCACTCCTTCGTTGCTCGGGCGGTGTGTTTGGGATCATTGTCATGCTGGAAGACCCAGCCACGTTTCATCTTCAAAGCTCTCACTGATGGAAGGAGGTTTTGGCTCAAAATCTCACAATACATGGCCCCATTCATTCTTTCCTTAACACAGATCAGTCGTCGTGTCCCCTTAGCAGAAAAACAGCCCCAAAGCATGACGTTTCCACCCCCATGCTTCACAGTAGGTATGGTGTTCTTGGGATGCAACTCAGTATCCAAACACGACGAGTTGAGTTTATACCAAACAGTTCTACTTTGGTTTCATCTGACCACATGACATTCTCCCAATCCTCTGCTGTATCATCCATGTGCTCTCTGGCAAACTTCAGACGGGCCTGGACATGCACTGGCTTCAGCAGGGGGACACGTCTGGCACTGCAGGATTTGATTCCCTGTCGTCGTAGTGTGTTACTGATGGTAACCTTTGTTACTTTGGTCCCAGCTCTCTGCAGATCATTCACCAGGTCCCCCCCGTGTGACTCTGGGATTTTTGATCACCGTTCTCATGATCATTTTGACCCCACGGGATGAGATCTTGCGTGGAGCCCCAGATCGAGGGAGATTATCAGTGGTCTTGTATGTCTTCCATTTTCTGATAATTGCTTCCACAGTTGATTTGTTCACACCCAGCTGCTTGCCTATTGTAGATCCACTCTTCCCAGTCTGGTGCAGGTCTACAATTCTTTTCCTGGTGTCCTTCGACAGCTCTTTGGTCTTGGCCATAGTGGAGTTTGGAGTCTGACTGTTTGAGGCTGTGGACAGGTGTCTTTTATACAGATAACGAGTTCAAACAGGTGCCATTAATACAGGTAACGAGTGGAGGACAGAAGAGCTTCTTAAAGAAGAAGTTACAGGTCTGTGAGAGCCAGAGATCTTCCTTGTTTGAAGTGACCAAATACTTATTTTCCACCATAATTTACAAATAAATTCTTTAAAAATCCTACAATGTGAATTCCTGGATTTTTTTTCACATTCTGTCTTTCACAGTTGAAGTGAACCTATGATGAAAATTACAGACCTCTGTCATTATTTTAAGTGGGAGAACTTGCACAATCGGTGGCTGACTAAATACTTTTTTGACCCACTGTATATATATATTTCCAAATTCTTGCATGTAGTAGCTAGCTACTGTTCAATTGGAGCTACTACAACCATCAAACCCCTGAAAAGTGTCTTTGTTGATTTTTAGTTAATTTTTCAGAGATAAGATAAGATATGCTTTATTTATCTCACAAGGAGAAATTTACATGTCACGTTTGGCATTGGCATGGCTTTGTGGATTTGGAGAAGGCGTTCGACTGTGTTCCCCGGGGTGTCCTTTGGGGGGTTCTCCGGGAGTACGGGGTCGGAGGTCCTCTGCTGAGGGCCATCCGATCCCTGTATGACCGGAGCCAGAGCTGTGTTCGCATTGCCGGCAGTAAGTCAGACCTGTTCCCGGTGAATGTTGGCCTCCAACAGGGCTGTCCTTTGTCACCGGTTCTGTTCACTGTATTTATGGACAGAATATCTAGGCGCAGCCAGGGGTCGGAGGGGGTCCGGTTCGGAGACCACAGGATTTCATCTCTGCTGTTTGCGGACGATGTTGTCCTGTTGGCTCCAACGAACCAGGACCTGCAGCATGCAATGGGGCGGTTTGTAGCCGAGTGTGAAGCGGCTGGGATGAGAATCAGCACCTCCAAATCCGAGGCCATGGTGCTCGACCGGAAAAAGGTGCCTTGCCCTCTCCAGGTGGGTGGAGAAGCCCTTCCTCAAGTGGAGGAGTTCAAGTATCTCGGGGTCTTGTTCACGAGTGAGGGAAGAATGGAGCGTGAGATTGACAGGCGGATCGGTGCAGCGTGCGCAGTGAAGCATCACTGTCGCTGTATCGGACCGTTGTGGTAAAGAGGGAGCTGAGCCGAAAGGCAAAGCTCTCGATTTACCGGTCAATCTTCATTCCCTCCCTCACCTATGGTCATGAGCTTTGGGTAATGACAAAAAGAACGAGATCGCGGATACAAGCGGTCGAAATGAGCTTCCTCCGCAGAGTGGCTGGGCGCTCCCTTAGAGATAGGGTGAGGAGCTCAGTCACACGGGAGGAGCTCGGAGTAGAGCCGCTGCTTCTCCACGTCGAGAGGAACCAGTTGAGGTGGCTCGGGCATCTGTTCCGGATGCCTCCTGGACGCCTCCCTGGGGAGGTGTTCCGGGCACGTCCCACCGGGAGGAGGCCCCGCGGAAGACCTAGGACACGCTGGAGGGACTATGTCTCTCGGCTGGCCTGGGAACGCCTTGGGGTCCCCCCCGGACGAGCTGGAGGAAGTGTGTGTGGATAGGGAAGTCTGGGCGTCTCTGCTTAGACTGCTGCCCCCGCGACCCGGCAACGGATAGAGCGGAAGAAAATGGATGGATGGACGTTTGGCATGGATAGAAACACTCAGATTGTGCAAAAGGAGGAAATGTGCAAACATGTTACATGCAGGATATATATGTACAATAAAAGTGGCAATTTAAAGTGGCAGTCAGATATAGTGTCAACAGTAGTAGTGCAGGTTTTTTTTTTTTTCAGTCTTATACAGTGACTTAAAGTGACTTATTGTACAGTCTGACAGCGGTGGGGATAAAGGCCCTGCGGTAGCGCTGCTTCCTACACTGAGGGTGTCTCAGTCTTCCACTGAAGGAGCTCCTCAGCTCCTCTACAGTCCTGTGCAGTGGGAGGTGTTGTTCATGATGGAGGTGGCTTTGACTAGACCCTCCTGTCCCTCACCTCCTCCACAGAGTCCAGGGAGCAGCCCAGAGTGGAGCTGGCCCTCCTGACCAGCTTGTTCAGTCTGTTTCTGTCCCGCTCTGTGCTGCCCGGGGCCCAGCACACGGCAGCGTGGTAAATGGCAGATGCTACCACAGAGTCATAAAAAGTCCTGAGCAGAGGCCTGCTCACTCCGAAGGACCTCAGCCTCCTCAGAAGGAAGAGGCGACTTTGGCCCTTCTTGTGCAGGGCGTTTTTATTATGGGACCAGTCCAGTTTATTGTTAATGTGAACACCCAGGTACTTGAAGCTGTCCACCAGCTCAATGTCCTCCCCCTGGATGTTCAGCGGCGTGTGGGAAAGTGGTTTCCTCCTGAAATCAATCACCATCTCCTTGGTCTTACTGGTGTTCAAGCACAAGTGGTTGCGCTCACACCAGTCGACAAAGTCTGTGATAACCGACCGATATTCCAGATCGTTCCCCTCAGACACACAGCCCACGATGGCAGAGTCGTCGGAGAACTTCTGCAGGTCTGCAGGTGACAGCTGTGTGTGTCGTGTGTGAAGTCTGAGGTGTAGATGGTGAAGAGAAACGGTGAGAGGACAGTGTCCTGAGGGGCCCCAGTGCTGCAGACTACCACCTCAGACTCACAGCTGCGCAGCCGCACGTACTGTGGTCGGTCCGAGAGGTAGTTGATGGTCCATGCAGTGAGGCTACTGTCCACTCCCGTGTCCTCCATCTTCCCTCGCAGCAGTGCCGGTCTGATGGTGTTGAAAGCACTGGAGAAGTCGAAGAACATGACCCTCACAGCGCTCCCGGCAGGCTACAGGTGGGAGAGCGTCCGCTGCAGGAAGTAGATGACGGCGTCCTCTACTCCGATGTTGGGCCTGTAGGCGAACTGCAGCGGGTCCAGGGTGGGGCTGACCACGGAGCGGAGATGGGTGTTTTAGGAACCGGGATCACACAGGAGGTCTTCCACAGGGCAGGGACCTTCTCCAGGCTGAGGCTCAGGTTGTACATGTAGCTGAGGACCCCAGAGAGCTGGTCTGCACAGGTCCTCAGCAGCCTGGGACTGATCCCGTCCGGTCCTGCGGATTTCCTCTGCTGACTCTTCACCTGGTCCGGTGTGATGGAGAGGGGGGGGGGGACCGGGGTGTATTGTCAGAGTTGGGGGGCGGGGATGTGGGGGCAGGAGGGCCCAGGGCAGCCAAAGGCAGTGTCCACTGGCCGGTGTCCACTGGGCTGGGGACGTGTGAAGAGGTGGGGGTGGGAGTGGGGGCAGATGGAGAGGGGGGAGAATCAAACCGGTTGAAGAATTGGTTAAATTCATCTGCCCGGTGCTGGTCTCCATCCGCTGTCCCGCTGGCCCTTTGTCCACAGCCAGAGATGTTCTTTAGGCCTCTCTACACGTCACGGGCGTTTCCCTGGGCCAGCTTCTGCTCCAGTTTTTCCCATATTCCCTCTTGGCCCTCCTGATCCTCCACTGGAGCTCGTGCTGGATCCTCTTCTGCTCCTCTTTGTCCCCTGAGATGAAAGCCCTTTTCTTGAGGTTCAGGAGGGCTTTAAGCTCAGAGGTCATGCATGGGTGGTTGTTAGAAAAACACCGTACCTTCTTAGTTGGTACAGTGTTATCCACACAGAAGAGGATATAGTCTGTAATACAGTGTGTCAGGCCAATATCATTATTCCTACTGTGAAGGGGAAACATTTTTTACCCCAAATTCTTGCCTGTAGTAGCTAGCTGTCATTGAATGGGAGCTACTACACCCATCAAATCTGGGAAAACTGTCTTTGTTGATTTTTAGTGAATTTTTCCAATTTCATTTTTGTTACTGTGAAGGGGAAAACAATATTTTTCCCAAATTCTTGCCTGTAGTAGCTAGCTATTGTTCAAATGGAGCTACTACACCCATCAAAACTGGGGAAAACATCTTTGTTGACTTTTAGTAAATTTTTCCAATTTCATTTTCGTTACTGTGAAGGGGAAAACAATATTTTTCCCAAAAGTTTGGCTGTAGTAGCTAGCTATTGTTCAAATGGAGCTACTACACCCATCAAATCTGCGAAAAAAGTATTTGTTGATTTTTAGTTAACTTTTCCAATTATATGTTTGTTACTGTGAAGGGGAAAACCATATTTTTCCCAAATTCTTGCCTGTAGTAGCTAGCTATTGTTAAATGGAGCTACTACACCCATCAAATCTGGGAAAAAAGTCTTTGTTCATTTTTAGTTAATTTTTCCAATTTTATTTTTGTTGCTGTGAAGGGGAAAACAATATTTTTCCCAAAAGTTTGGCTGTAGTAGCTAGCTATTGTTCAAATGGAGCTACTACACCCATCAAAACTGGGGAAAATATCTTTGTTGATTTTTAGTGAATTTTTCCAATTTCATTTTTGTTGCTGTGAAGGGGAAAACCATATTTTTCCCAAATTCTTGCCTGTAGTAGCTAGCTATTGTTCAAATGGAGCTACTACACCCATCAAATCTGGGAAAAAAGTCTTTGTTGATTTTTAGTGAATTTTTCCAATTTCATTTTTGTTACTGTGAAGGGGAAAACCATATTTTTCCCAAAAGTTTGGCTGTAGTAGCTAGCTATTGTTCAAATGGAGCTACTACACCCATCAAATCTGGGAAAAAAGTCTTTGTTGATTTTTAGTGAATTTTTCCAATTTCATTTTTGTTGCTGTGAAGGGGAAAACAATATTTTTCCCAAAAGTTTGCCTGTAGTAGCTAGCTATCATTAAATGGGAGCTACTACACCCATCAATTCTTGGATTGGATTTATTAGTCGTTTTGACCTCTTGCAATTTGCAGACGGTCCCTTGCGAATATCAGGCGAATATCAAACGTTCGGCCAACTTCACCTCGGTGATGGTGAGCAACCTTGTTTGGTTCAGCACTTGGTTGCCTTGTGTATGTGGATCCACCCCACAAAAGTTACACTGTACATCTTTATAGAGTTTTCTGACACAAACAGATCATTTACAAATGTATTACACCGTTTGAGCACTGACCACCACGTAGATACAGTCCACACAGGATCCAGGGGCAGACAGCGCTCGGACCCAGTGAGAGACCAGGGCGCAGGGTCCCACGGGCAGAAGCGGCTTCGCGACCCCAGACAACTGTGCAAACCTCCCGCTGCTGTCTGCCTGCACGTCCCTCTGCAGCCTGGTGCCATACCCTGCGGCCAGGACCACAGCTTTCATGACAAAGCACTACGTCTTTCAAGTTGTTATTATAATAGATCCAAAGGTAAACTACTGGAACTTTTTGGCACAGCTGATTGAAATATCGCGAGATCTCCATGTGGGCACTTTATTTCCGGGTTCATTCATGTTTACGTTTTACACATTTTTTTTTTTTTTATTGATGTTTGCAAAAATACATGTTTCAATAATACGAGCTTTTATTGATTGGGCAAATAATATAGAAATATTGAGAATAAAGGATATATACTATATTTTTTACCTGTTTGCACACTTCAGTCTTCACAACCTGAGTGATTCCATCGATGCCAAATGTGACATGTAAATTTATCCAGTGTGATCAATAAAGTCAATCATATCTTATACATATACACGCACAGGGATCTGCTAATCAAGACTAATAAATAGACACTTCCCCCACATTAGAATGACTCTGGTGGGTGTGTGAATGGTGGTGGTGGTGGTGGTGGGGGGCTGATGGCAAAGACTGGTTGCTCCCCTTCTGTCAGTGTGCCCCAGGCAGGAGGCTCTTCTCCAGAACAAGTTCGGTTTGTGGAGCAGCAATTTGTCAAATGTTCAATGATCTTCAAATTGAGTCAGGGTTCATCATTTTATTAACAAATCCAGACACAAAAGCAGAAAGATCATATTCCTCTTTTCTTTTTTTCTAATACAAAATAAATTCCTAACATTTTGAGAATCATATACAGAGATTGCTTCTAAAGTAGAGATTTGTGTATTATTCGTCAGCCTCAGTCCCGCTGGCGGCCGCGGCCTCTGCCTTGACCTCTGCCTCAGCCTGTGTCTCTGCCTCTGCTTCAGGGTCCTGCTCCGTGGGCTCTGTGGGCTCTGGCTGGGCGCTCTCCTCCATCGGCTCCTCGGCCTCTGGGGGTGGAGAGGCTTCTTCACAAGCTGCTGCCGTCTCCACCTGAGAAATGAGAAAAGAAAGTAAAATCTTTTCTGTTAACTTGTCCCTATAGATTTTGGTGCTGGTTCAATGGATTTGGGATCTGGGGTTTTTCAGAAGAGTGGCTCAAGGTCCAAGCAGCAGGATAAGCACAAATATAACAAGGCAACAGCCCAAATAAAAGCAAAGTTATAAGATAAAAAACAAAAATAAGCAAGCCAAATTATAGCCCTGTTTACACCAGCCCTACTTGGCTCTACCCTACCCTATACTATTCTACCCCACTCTACCCTACCTTGCCCACCCCTGAATGAAACAGAAGGAGCAGGGAATGTGGATTAAGAATCAGATTTCTTTAGTGGCCACTTGTAGTAAAACCCCATTGGAACACATGTACAAAAGTCCCCCATGGAGCCAAAAGAGGGAACAATGCAGTAACAAGGACAGGAAAGACACTGGGACTCTACAATAGTGACCCGCATCAATAGGAGACAGTGGCTTTCCTCCAGAACAATGTATTGAAGGAAGTGGTACCTCTGCGACAGCTCCCTCCTGCTCCATGGGCTCCTCCTCGTTCTGAAGCTTGTTTTGTTCAGGATCAGGTGTGGATTCAGTCTGAGGGACTTCTGCCACCAGCTCAGGAACTGCTTCAATCTGGAAGAGAGATTAATTGTAGATGTAATTCAATTCAATTCATTTTTGTATAGATCTAAATCATAACAGCAGAGGAGAGATCAGAGACTCAAACTTCAAAATAAGAAAATGCAATAATGGAAAACACATAGGAGCCAATGGTCCATAGGGAGCGGATGATCACCGTCTTTAGCATTGGCAAGGATAAAAAACCCAGTGAGAAACCTTGGGTAGCCCCACAGTGAGAGAGGGATCCGCTCCAAAGACACAGGCTGTAGGTCAAGGACTATATAACTGAGTAGATTGAATTACAATGTTTTCTCAAAGTCTTGTGTACACGGCACCTGAAAGCCAAGGCTGGTACTTTGATAACAAACATATTGAAACTGCCTCCAGATTTCAGTCTGAGATCCAGTTTGTATGAATAAAATGAGGACCCTATTTCTTACCTCTTTCTCCGGCTCCACAGGTTTAGGCGGCGGCTTCTTATGAGCTTCCAGAACATCCATCATGGACGGAGTGATGTGAGCTTGCTGTAGCACAGAAATAGAATATAATCAGAAAAAAAATCACTTTATAAGTCACAAAAAGTTGTCCACTGAGAACCCAATAAACACCAGTCCTCACGTGAGACCAGTCTGAGTCTTAAGACCTGAGGAAATGGGTGGAGTCTGCTATGCTCCTGCTTGGTCGACACTAAAACCTGCAGCTCCACAGGCTCTGTCTGGAACCAATGCTCTATAGCAGGGGTCACCAACCTTTTTGAAACCAAGAGCTACTTCTCCGGTACTGATTAATGCGAAGGGCTACCAGTTTGTTACACAATTACATAAATTGCCAGAAAAAGCCAATTTGCTCAATTTACTTTTAACTCTGTTCATATTAATAATTAATGATATTTATCTTTGTGGAAACACTGATCATCTTAACGATTTCTCACAATAAATATATATAGAAACAGATAAATATCAATATGCAACATTTTTCAAATTGAACATTTTCAAACGATCACTTCTTGTGAAATCACAATATCCCATTTTAACCAACTAGCCACTAACATTTTTTAACAAATCATGAATAACTTTGCACCATGTTTATACAAATAATAACTCATGTAAAATACAAAAGTCAACTCTCGTCACACGTGATGGTGATCTCACAGGAGTTTAGAAACCAAAGCAGTCCCATTTACGCTGCTACTTTCTCCTCTTCTGAACAAAAACAACAGTGAAGCTGTTTGAGATCATTACATGTGTTTCTACTGTAGGTTTATGTGACAGTTCTAAACTCATCGTTTCAACTCATTTAACTCTGATGTTGTGAATAAAGACACAGTTCTTGTTGGAAACATAGTTATTATTAAAGTGTATTCAGCACAAACAGATAATCAATAAGTGGTAAATATCTGAGAAAAACACGAACTATAAGTGCAGTAGGAATGCAACAGACGCGATAAGCTACAACGCAAACAAGACAGGAACAGTGCAAAAGAAACAACTGCACAGTTTATAAGTTATTATCAGGCTCTGCCATGAGACCAAACTACTTTTCCTTCGGTTCCTTCGAAGCACAAAGCGGTCTGCTCCGAAGTGCCTCGTCCGTGCTCCCTGCAGCCGCTCCATGCTTCCGTCCAAAACACACACACGAACCAATCACAGCGGAGCTCCTCTCACACACGGACCAATCACAGCGGAGCTTGTCTGCGGCGTTGGCCGCGTAGTATTCGAGGGTGCGTGGCAGGCTACGTAAGGGCCTTGATGTGATCCACGCGTTGCGCAAGTGACGTCACGTCACCTCCGTAAGCTCCGCGCAGCGCACTAGGCTTGAGTGCTACTATTTGAGCTATTTTTAGAACAGGCCAGCGGGCGACTCATCTGGTCCTTACAGGCGACCTGGTGCCCGCGGGCACCGCGTTGGTGACCCCTGCTCTATAGAGAGGGCCATTCCTATAGTGACAATGTGTATCTGAAGTATGTGTGTGTACCTGGTGTGTAGTGTGTACCAGGTGTGTAGTGTGTACCTGGTGTGGTGTGAAGGAGAGCACGTGCTGCAGCAGTGGTTCTCTCATCTCGGGGCAGCGTTCAAACACTCTCTTGAGCTGATTGTGCGGCAGCTGCAGCAGGACGCTGTAGGACTGAGGCCTGGTCCTCTGGCAGCACTTCACAAAACCCTCCCACACTTTGGGATAGTTCCACACCTGCAACACACACACAAGATGTAAGAACCACAACAAACTAGTTCCACACCTGCAAGACACACAAGATGTAAGAACCACAACAAACTAGTTCCACACCTGCAACACACACACAAGATGTAAGAACCACAACAAACTAGTTCCACACCTGCAACACACACAAGATGTAAGAACCACAACAAACTAGTTCCACACATACAACACACAAAAGATGTAAGAACCACAACAAACTAGTTCCACACCTCCAACACACACAAGATGTAAGAACCACAACAAACTAGTTCCACACCTGCAACACACACAAGATGTAAGAACTACAACAAACTATGTCCAGGAGAATCCGCACAAACACATGGGACTGAAGCTGACACACAAAGATCACCTGCAGACCTCAAAACTCAAACCTTACACTTTCAAAATATCAAAAATATCTACAAGTACATCTCTATAGATAAAATATATAATTTATAGAGAAAATTATCAAAGAATTAGATGTATTCATTTATTTCATTTTATTCTTTATTTGAAGGGACAATGTACAGAGAAATTAAGCTCAAGTAGTTTGGTAGTCAAGTAGTGTCCTTGTAAAGTCCTAAGCAATTGTCCCGGAAGACAAAGTTATCAATTCCTCAACAACAGATCAGAGAAAATCAGAGGAAATACAACAATAACAAACACATACTGAAGGGGGACGAACCACTGTCCTCCTGCATCAACAAGGAACCATAGATCCATGGGAACCACTCAAAAACTTAAAGTAAAAAGTGAGAGACCTTGGGAGGCCCACATTAAGAGGATTGGGAGATGATTCTTCTTCTAATTATTATATGACTTTTTGATGAGACAGAACAAAAAGCATTGTTACAGGCCACCAATGCCATGGTCAAAGGCCGTATAGCTAACAGCTAATTTGCAGACCTCGTCCCCAAGACATACATGCTTTGAGGTTGTTTGTAAATATTTCTTAAGCACATACTTGTCTTGGAGTCTATACACAGAACAATCACTAAAATAGCTGTCGATGTTGAACAAACTCGTTAAGATAAATAGTTACAGTCCAATTCATTGCACAAACTGTAAAGTACTTATTAATAACAGTCATTTTAAACAAGTTTGCTCGATATAAAATCTCTCATCTCATGCCAATTTTATTTTTATTCTTTACACTCAAATCCACACTTCTCTTTGGTGAAGCCGATGACATTTCCCACAAAAACCAAGACTCTAAGATATGAAACGGCGATGTCTTTCTCCAGGAGCGATAAGAACCAACCTGTTTGACGATGAGTCGAGCCAAGATGTTCATGACGAAGCCGCCCAGGCGCGGGTACATGGACAGGGACTGGATCACGGTCCTCATCAGCAGCATGGGGAGAGGGCTCTGCTCCATCAGCTGCTGCATCACCACCGCCAGCACCTCCGACGTGTACACATTCTTCTCCGCAAAGCACAGGTTGGTGGCTACGAGTTGGGAATAAGATAAATCAAATCTTGATTCTGAATATAAGGCAAAGACTACTATCAAATATGGCTACATTAAGTCTAAGTATTTCTAATAAATAAGAAAGAAATGTGGGCATTCCTTTCGCCACAGCATGGGCCACCAAAGGCTTTTTTCCTACCTCTTGACTGGCCGATTGCGTGTGACCTGGGGGGTATATATATTGTGGCTAGCTCGCTACTTGCTCTCTTGGTCTCTCTCGAGTGTGGGCCCTCTGCATGAGGGGTGGGCTGCCTCTCTCCCTCTCCGATCCAAAACATCTCTCTTCAAAGCAAAATTATTTTGCTTATGCCTCTATATACTCTAAATGTCTTCTCGTCGATATCCACCCGGTTTGGGCCAAGTATCTAATATAAGCAACATTACGACATGAGTATATTAGTCTCATATATATCATGATAACCAGTACCTAATTTACAAAGCAAAACATTCAGAGTTTGTTCTAAAATCAATGTTACTAGATCCTCACTCTCAAAGATGCAGTTTGGTTCTATGCATGTATAGTTTGGCCTCTGTCACATCTGTATAACAGCCATTTCGAGACAGATATATGAGAAAATAGAGGACCACCCCATTTGGCCAATCAGCTCTCAGCTCAAAGAGCTCAGAGGGCTCTTTCTTACGTGTGTAAATGTGTCGACGTTTTATAATGAGCACTTTGTAAATATGCTTGTTGACAAATGCAATACAAATAAAGATGTTTGACTTAGTATTGTCATCATTCAATTCAAATAACTTTATTAATCCGTGCGGAATTTCATTTTCAGACTGAGCACTAGTGGGAATGCATAAAAACATGAGATATACAACACAAAATACAGTAAAAGTGCAGAAATACAGTGGAAATACAACATCACTGACCTTTGATAATAGATTTCATGTCACATTTGTTAGAGTCGATGTTGTGCAAAGCGATCAGCAGGTCCCCAGGAGTGAGAGGAGACATTGACGAACTGCCCTCGCCTGGAAGACACCGGTATTACACCAGAGTCCAAATACTTTTTATGGACTTTTCAATGACAAACACTTACTGTGCTGTGTGCCCAAGAGTCTGTTGAAAACTTCCTTCACTACAATCGGGTTGAGTTTGATTAACTTGGGGAGAGCAAGGATGACTTCCCTCTGTGGACAAGAAAGAACAGACGATTAATAGTATCGTACGTTTTTCTGTTTGTCCTGCTTTCAATAGCCCCTCCCTCAATAGCTGATACCTTTTCTAAGCCGTTGATGACTGGGATCAGGAACCGCACGTCTGGGACCCTCTTGTAGAAAAGGTCGCGGACCCTCTCCACCAGCTCTGGAGATGGAGGAACTGGACAAAAATACAAATAATACTTATATTTTAACACACTCACATTTGGAGATTATTATAATTCTCATGTACGAAGTGTGTTCTTTACCTTTGTCTGTCAGAATATGGAGACATCGCGTCACTAGAGTCTCGGCTCCTTTCGGGCAATTTTCAACTAACAGGAATAAATCTGGAGAGTTCATGCCCATCCCCCGGATCTGGAAGTAAACATAGAAGTAATGTATATTTGGACATTATCACATTATTAAGAATTACACAAGGTCAAGGACATGTGTTTACGTTGATTTGTTATTTTCTTCTAAAGCCGTGATTTTCAACTTGTGGGTTGGGACTTTATGATTGGGACCAAAAAGTAATTTGAAGTGTGTCGCAGGACTTTCCAGTCTTTCTTAAAATGTGCATCTATTACCCATTTGATGAGACTGTATGTGCATGTGTTCAAGTGTTTAAAAGTCTGCGTGTGTGACATTTTCTTGAAAAAAATACAGAATTACAGAAAGAAAACCGACACATTTGTAAATCTTTTTGCCAATTACCAGGAATGAATTTGTTAAAAAATGTTTTATTTAATTACAAAAAATGTTTTCATGCTTTCTACGTTCAAGTATCCTTCATTGCTAATAAAAATAAATTGTGGATTTATACAGTATTATAAACCAGTAATTTACTAAACCCTTTTTATACCGTTTTATACTGTGTTTCTGTATTGACCTAAAAATAGAGATACTCAATATTAACTTGTGACTTGTAACTTGTGATGCAACACTGAAATTTCTCCATGTTGTGTGAATGTGAGTGTGAGAGTTACCGGCTGCTCGATGGCCCGGAGAACGCTGCGCTTGATGTCTGCGATGGCCTCGGTGTAAACAGACGCCAGCTCATGGACCAGTCGATGGTTCAGAGGAAGAAGAGAAAGATACAAGAAGAGACACTGACGCACCGTGTCCTCCGTCCAGGGAGACGCCACCTCTGACAGGGAGGAAAACAGATTTAAAGCTGAGGTACCCAACTTTCAAACCACAACAAGTGTTCTTATGTAAGAAAATCCATCTGACTCGGCAGTAACTCGTAACAGATTGGTTCCATCACCAGTTTTTTCTACGTGTGTCTCAGGCCTCGTTACGATTTATTATTGTCACAGGGAAAATAAAAGTTTTCCCTCTTTTAACTCTTTAAATCTTGATCTTCCTTCTGAAAGCAAAACAATTTAACCCTAACCCGGCGGCACGGTGGCTGAGTGGATAGCACTCTCGCCTCTCAGCAAGAAGGTCCTGGGTTCGAATCCCGGCCGGACCAGGGCCTTTCTGAGTGGAGTTTGCATGTTCTCCCCGTGTCTGCGTAGGTTTCCTCCGGGTACTCCGGTTTCCCCTACCACTAAAAATATGTACAATAGGTCTGGCATGCGACTCCTGTACTGCGACCTCGCTCCCATCTCTGTGAGGAGTGAGAGACAAATGCCCAAAAATTAACAATTGTAAACCGCTTTGAGACTCAGATCTGCAGTGAAAAGGCGGTATATAAATAAAAAACTTACTTACTTACTTACTAACCCAATTATTATTATTATTTTCTTCTTCTCTATTATTTTATTGTTATATTTGTTATTGTCTTCTTGTTTTTGTGTTCCGTTTGTTTGTACTTTTGTGTTTTCGTTTTAAGTCATACTCTGTTTGTGTTCTTGTTGACTGTTGATGTGTATGTTTTTAATAAAAGAAGAAAAAACGTTGACCCTTGTGCTTTCCTCGGGTCAAATTGACACACAATTTTTGTTCTGAATCTAACATATGAATACCATGTACAGGCAAATTTTTACAGACCATTTCAGACCCTTCTAATTTCAATCATCTGTGAAGGTCAAGTGAAATGTACCTGTGTCTTTGTCGGCTCCAAACAGCAGAGACGGAGGATTGGGATGAACGAGCAGCTGCATGTAATTCAAGGCAAACTTCTCAATGTAATCTCTCAAATGCTCTTTCTCGTACATTCTCTTCAGGAAACTCAAGGCCGTCGTCCGCACCTAAAATATAAAAATTAACATTATCATTGTGTTAATGTGTGAATACTGCACTGAACATCTGTTGGAGGTACATGAGAATTTCACTGCATGTGGTGTGTGTGTGACAAAACTGTGTCAGACTGTGTAACGAAAACTGCTGAGCCTCTACAAATGTCACTGATCATAATTCACTAGTCGCTTTCCCTTTTATTATTACTATTACTGCATTACTATAAATCCATTCATCTGATATTGATGTAATTTACTCACTTTACCTGCTGCCATTGTTACTACTGTTTATTCTGGTTTATTCTCGGTTGCTAGAGTCCAATATACAAATCAGTAAAAACCTCTGAACCAAGTGCAATTATAGCTCTAGAGTTTAATTCATGTTATTACTTATAATTATTTTAATTTTATTATCTATTATATTAAATAATAGACTCTTATTCTTAGTCTTATCTCCTTCTGTTTCTCTGCTGTGATGTGCAAAGATGACACTGACATTTCCCCACAGTGGGAGGAATACAGGAGTATCTTATCTGACAAATAAATAGTTCTGGGCATTTTGTTGTTTTTTTTGGGATAAAATATTTGTACCTTCTCCTTTTCATGTGAGCTCAGATCCAGAAGCACGTGGAGATACTGGAACTGCCGCATCGGTCGGTTGTAGATGAGTTCTTTCAAAGTGGTCATCCCCAAATAAACTCGAGACTAAACACAGAGAATCTCACATTGTTAGTTTTGCAAAGAAATGTAAGGATTATGGTTTTTTTTACATTCCATCTTACCTCGTCCTCGCAGTATCGCCGTATGACTTCTAAAGCAGAATCTGTAATAATTGGAGCTTCTAGGACCAGTTTGGTGAAAAGTCTGAAAAACAGGAATTATGTTTAAATTGCACAAAGTGAACTAACTGGTGGTCGGAGGGGCCGATGGCACATATTGGTTGCCTCGCATCTGTCAGTGTGCCCCAGGGCAGCTGTGGCTAGAGTAGTAACTTATCACCACCGTGTATGGAGTGATAGAATAATAACATGTGCGTCCTCTTTGAGTGTCCAAAAAAGCACTATATAAACCAATGCATTCAATAATGTTGGTCCTCACCCGTCCCTCTGCTCGGGCTTCTCCTGCAGCCCAGACAGCAGCGTGTAGAGGCAGTGGTCATAGCTGTCCAGCAGACCAGCGGGCATCTGGCTCAGGTACGTGGTGTATTCCTGGTAGAGGAGGGAAAAGGCCAAGTCACTGCGGCTGCGGATGTCCTCCAGGATGAACTCCAGCACGTCGTCCTTCATCACACCCTCGAACTGCGTCACCAGACGAGACAGCAGCTTCACGCGCACCTGACACAGAAACACAGGTGAAGTGGTTCATACGAGTGTGCTCCTGTGTCTCCTGTCTCTGTTGTCATGGTTACCTGCGACATGCCGCTCTGGGCGATGGACTTCTCAGAGTGAAGGATCCGCTTCACGGCTTTAGACGACAGGTTTTCCAGCTGAGAGTCGGACAGCGGCTGAATCACATCAGACAAACGAAACACCTTCTTCCTCCCACTACCGCCGGGTGTTCTGCAACAAACGGGAAACAGTTTAAAGAATTTGAGTTCTCACTCACGAGTTGGTCATTGGAAAAAAGTTTGTATGTATTTTTATGTTTTGTATCATTTTAAAACAAGATCATAATGCTTTGTCCTGATGGTAAATCTTGTTTTAAGGCAGTGACAATGTTAAGATACTTTTTGCCATATATGATTAATCTTTTACTTCAGTCTAGAACTTTAATGGGAATCGTTAAGAGAAGATGGAGAAGAAATGCTTGGACTTTTTAATTAGTTTTCACAGTGTAAAGTCCTGAAATAACTACAATTGTGATTTACAGTGCCTCGCGAAAGTATTGAACCTTTCAACATGTCGCCACATTTCAGGCTTCAAACATAAAGATATAAAATTAAATTTTTTTGTCATGAATCAACAACAAGTGGGACACAATCGTGAAGTGGAACGAAATTTATTGGATAATTTAAACTTTTTTAACAAATAAAAAACTGAAAAGGGGGGCGTGCAATATTATTCGGCCCCTTTACTTTCAGTGCAGCAAACGATCTTTGAATGATCCAATGTTGTCCTAAATGACGATGATGATGAATAGAATGCACCTGTGTGTAATCAAGTCTCCGTATAAATGCACCTGCTCTTTGATAGTCTCAGGGTTCTTTTTAAAGCGCAGAGAGAACCATGAAGACAAAGGAACACACCAGGCAGGTCCGAGATACTGTTGCGGAGAAGTTTAAAGCCAGATTTGGATACAAAAAGATTTCCCAAGCTTTAAACATCTCAAGGAGCACTGTGCAAGCAATTATATTGAAATGGAAGGAGTATCAGACCACTGCAAATCTACCAAGACCCGGCCGTCCCTCCAAACTTTAATCTCAAACAAGGAGAAGACTGATCAGAGATGCAGCCAAGAGGCCCTTGTTCACTCTGGATGAACTGCAGATAACTACAGCTGAGGTGGGAGAGTCTGTCCATAGGACAACAATCAGTCGTGCACTGCACAAATCTGGCCTTTATGGAAGAGTGGCAAGAAGAAAGCCATTTCTCAAAGATATCCATAAAAAGTCTCGTTTAAAGTTTGCCACAAGCCACCTGGGAGACACACCAAACATGTGGAAGAAGGTGCTCTGGTCAGATGAAACCAAAATCGAACTTTTTGGCCACAATGCAAAACGATATGTTTGGCGTAAAAGCAACACAGCTCATCACCCTGAACACACCATCCCCACTGTCAAACATGGTGGTGGCAGCATCATGGTTTGGGCCTGCTTTTCTTCAGCAGGGACAGGGAAGATGGCTAAAATTGATGGGAAGATGGATGGAGCTAAATACAGGACCATTCTGGAAGAAAACCTGTTGGACTCTGCAAAAGACCTGAGACTGGGATGGAGATTTATCTTCCAACAGGACAATGATCCAAAACATAAAGCCAAATCTACAATGGAATGGTTCACAAATAGACGTATCCAGGTGTTAAGTCAAAGTCCAGACCTGAATCTAATCGAGAATCTGTGGAAAGAGCTGAAGACTGCTGTTCACAAACGCTCTCCATTCAACCTCACTGAGCTCGAGCTGTTTTGCAAGGAAGAATGGGAAAGAATTCCAGTCTCTCGATGTGCAAAACTAGAGACATACCCCAAGCGACTTGCAGCTGTAATTGCAGCAAAAGGTGGCGCTACAAAGTATTAGCGCAAAGGGGCCAAATAATATTGCACGCCCCACTTTTCAGTTTTTTATTTGTTAAAAAAGTTAAAATTATCCAATACATTTTGTTCCACTTCACGATTGTGTCCCACTTGTTGTTGATTCTTGACAAAAAAATATTTTTTTATATCTTTATGTTTGAAGCCTGAAATGTGACGAAATGTTGAAAGGTTCAAGGGGGCCGAATACTTTCACTGTACGGCTATACAATAAACTGAACTGAATGGTATGGATCGGGTTCTGCAGTAGGACTCACTTGGTCGGGACGATGGGCAGGATGGGTTCTGGAAGCCTCTTGACCACTGGGACCTCGGGGGGCTTCTCTGTGTGTCCTCCCACCACAGAGATATTCTGCACCACCATCGGGGTCTTCCTCTTGATCAGAGGGTCTTTACTGCTGCTGCTGCTGTCCTCGCCCACCGCCTGGTCTTTGCTCTTGGACTGCTCCAGACCTGAGGAGGGAGGCCGAATTTCAGAACAAGGACCTCAGCCAAATTAGCAAAATTTATCTGCAAACGGTGAAATATTGCAACTAGAGTAGCGGTCACCCATTACCTGGTCCGATCCCGGCCGCGGTCATCTGGGTGGACAGGAGTCGGGCCAAGTGTCTGATCTGAGCGTCGGTGCCTGCAGACTCGACCGGAGTGTAGGTGGACTGGAACGAGGCCGGCATCACGTCAGGCAGGTACACCATACTGATCAGCACCTGGGCACAGCAGTGCGCACACATATATATATATATCACAAATATATAAAATCACAGCAGTCGTCTCAAAGGACATCTGGGGCTGTTTGTCTTTGGTCAATGGCTTCCTAGTAGTCTAATTATTTTAATTGAAATCTAGAATAAACACACTATATCTTCTGGTTTCTCATGTTTCACCTTTACAGATATAATGCATTATAGTTCCATATCAGCAGAAAGAAGCTGCTGATTTTAATGTTGTTTCACATTTTTAAATATGGCTATATTGTTTTCTCTACATTTATTCAAACACAAGAAATGCATTGATAAAACTCATGGGGCAGATGTCCATAGATGTCGTTGTATGTCTAGTATCCTGGATCATCACCACTGTCCTTAGGCCCTCCTGCATCAGCAAGTTCAATTCTAAAAAAAAAGTAATCTAGGAATTGGGTCAGATATTACCACAGTTACAATTTTAGTAGACTTATCGATCAAGTAATGGGTATTTTTAAAGAGTTTTGTTAAGCTGTGCATACAACTGAATGATTTTATTGTTACTCCTTTTTGGTGCACTGTGGCTATTTATTGTGAACTAGTAATTTTATAGGTTTTAAGGATTTGTGTGATTTTATTTTAAATGTTTTTAATTTTCTTGATCTCATTGTGTGTATTAATGCCCTTTGGGATTTTAATTGTATTTTTTGATGTTTATGATTTATGCTTGATGTGATGTGGATTGAAGGAAAGGCCCTCAACAAAGAAAAGTTGATTGATTGGTTGATCGATATTTATAACCGCCCTTGACTTTAAAAAAATCTAGTAGTACCGACTCAACAACCACCCATAGTTCCTTTATTCACAAGCAGGGTTCTCTCACCAGGTTGGCTACGTTCTCAGGGTTCAGCAGGGGCCGCAGGAACTCGGCTGTGAGGTCCATGGCAGACTGAGCCGCTGGGACCGGAGCAGGTTTAGGAGTGGACTGGGCCACTGGCTCCTCTTTGTCCTCGTCCTCGTCTATCAGGGCGGGCTCTGCAAACACACAACACCCATCAAGCAACACAACAATATCACCTGGTGTCCGAGAGCCAGCTCCAGCTTGAGATGCCAAAGACCAGACCAATAACCCGGGGGGACAGGGCATACTCTGTGGCTGGACCAAAGCTATGGAACGCCCGGCCCCCCCACGTCAAGGCGGCTCCTTCTTAAGACGCATGAGTAGTGTGGTCCTGTTTTATTCATTTTATTGTTTTCATTTTTATCTTAAATTGGATAACTGGAATTTTATTGTTTTTACAACATTTGTATTGTTTATACTTTGTGCATAATGTTTTACTTATATTTTCTTAAACATATTAAGCCGGCAAACCTTTACCTCTGTGCAGCACTTGTTTTATAAAATGTGCTATAAATTAAATAAAGTGGATTGGATACAATTTTGTTCATCTTTCTGCTCTTTTTATGTGACAAGACTACAATTATTTGAAATGTAATTGTAAAATGTGATGTATTGTCACGTCCACAATGGAAATAAATAAATAAAAACTGAGGGATTAATTCATATATTCAGGTTTTTTTTTAGGATCGTCAACATTTCTATGCAATCTTTTTAAAGTGCTGTACCTTCAGGCTGAGTGGAGAACACTTAGAAAGAGCCTGCTCTAACTGGGATTCGAACCCAGGACCTTTTTGCTGAGACACAAGAGCTAACCACTCAGCCACCGTGCCGAAGAGTAATCCTATCTCATTCAGCCAAATTACGGTGGAACAAAGCACCCCATTAACATCTGTATCTACGTTCGGTCTGCTCAGACGTCCATAAACAGTGCCTCACCCATCTTGACCTTCTTGCCCTCGGTGTAGTGGTCGTGTCGAGAGCGTTTGCGGGGCTCGCGGAGGGAGGGGGTGGAGCGTGCGATCTCGCTCTGAGGCATGCCCAGGTCCTGCAGCAGCGTGCAGATCTGAACATGGAACTCCACGCTGCACGAGTGCTTGAGGACCGCCACCAGGTGCATCTTCAGGTTCTTTCGCACGCTGCTCACCTGAGACTTGGCCAAAGTGGGCGGCAAGTTCGCTGGAAATTAAGGCAAAAGTTTATTATGAGGAGATAAGCAAGTGGTGTTACACCACATAACAGGTATTGACAAACATTCAATATGGTTTTGTACAGGGCTAAATTACAATAGGAGTCTGGACAAAGAGTGTGAGCACTGGGTCTCCCCAAGGATGTATTCTGAGTCCTCTGCTCTTTACCTTGTACACCCACGATTGTGTGGCTTCCTCTGACTCGGACTTGATCATCAAATACGCTGATGACACCACCATCATCGGTCTCATCAGTGATAATGATGAATCCTCTTATAGAGCAGAGATCGAACATGTTTTTCAGTGGAGTAAAGTAAACAATCTCCAACTGAACACAGCAAAAACATGTGAACTTGTTTTTGACTTCAGTCGCACCAGTTCTCACACTTCAGTTGTTATTGACAACTCCCAGGTGCAGATTGTAGAGGAGTGCAAGTTTCTGGGTTTAACTTAGCGAATTTTCCAATAACTCTAAGATTCTGCTTAACTTTTATCGTTGCACCATTGAAAGTTTGCTTGTTGGCTCTGTGACTGTCTGGTTCGGAAACATCACAGACAAAGAAAAGAGAACTTTAAACAAGGTGCTCTGCTCCGCAAAGAGGACTGTGGGCTGTGAGCTTCCTGTTCTGGAGGTTCTTTAAGAATCCAGACCTTTAAACCAAGCTCTTAAAATTATCAATGAGTCTTCTTGCCACCCTGGTAAAGCCATGTTCCAGCTTCTTCCCTCGGGCAGAAGATATCGGTCGCTGAGATGCAAGACATCTCGCTATGCTAACAGCTTCTTTCCACAAGCTGTTAAGTGCCTAAACAGAGCACTTTAATTGTTGCTTTTACCTCTTGTATTGTTTTTTTTTTGTCGATCGGTGCCACAGTATCAGCTGTTCTTTTTGCTTATGTTCAGTGTATGTGACTATGTGTATGTGTATTTATATTACATTGTATTGTGCTCTTTATTCTGTTGGTGCACACAGAGTAACTTTTTTTGCAAATGTATTCCAATGTGGTTTTTATACTGCACATGGCAAATAAAATGAATCTGAATCTGAGTGATCGAGCCTTCTCTGTCCGGGCTCCTCAAATTTGGAACCACTGGACCGAGGACCAGCGGACCTGCTGACCTGCTGGCGCGCCCCACTGGACAAACCTCAAGAAGGGCCACATTGAGAGAGGACTCAGGCTCTAGAATGAGCACTAAGAATGGTTGAATACACTTGTTAGAACTGCCCTCCCTTACCCACCTGCTTCCACTTAAAGCCGTGGTAATTTGCTTTTTAAACCAAAGAAGATTGAAACATACAAATGTTTAGGCCTTTGACATGTTTACAATATTTCAGTCAGAATCGAGAGAACCCCCCTCCTTCAGCCAGTCAGCTCTCAGCCCAAAGTATTCAAACCATGGCTCGTGTGATCTTAGCGACTTGACTCACCGTGCAGAGTCTCGTAGGCCTGCACCACCTGTGACATAAACATGGGCCTCTGCTTGGCGATGGTGGCCAGAGATCCCAGAGCCGTGGTCAGGTTGATGCTGGAGATGGCTGGATGAACCATGAACTTCAGCAGCTTCTCCACAGCAGTTTTCCCCTCTTCACACAGAGCGTCTGCAACAAAGGAGACTGAATTAACAATTGAACTTTTTACCTTTTTACTGCAAAACATTACGAATGTCTTCTTTGTTTTGTAACAACAGGTTAAACACAAGTGCCCTTGAAAAGATACAAAAGATAAGATGGAATAAGAAAACACTTAATTGAAATTTTCGTGTCATGTCAGAGGCAAGTTTTTATGTTTTCTTTTAAGTTTAAGTGGGGGCGGCGGAGGAATGGAACACAGATATATTAATTACATAGCACAACCAAGGTCACACAATGCTACTGCTGTATTTCTCCAATAAGAAGTGCTAATGTGATGTGACTCGCAAACTTTCTAAAAAGAGGATCTGGATTTTCTAAAAATGATAAAAAATGGCCCAAAGTTATACTTGTTTGTCCTAATTCCTACAAAGAACGGGGTTGTCCTCACCGTAGCGTATGTACGAGTGGTCTTTGGGTACTTTGTCCAAGCTGATGTCATTTTCTTGCCGTTTCGGGACTTCGGAGTCTGGTGTCCGCGGCGACAGAGCGATGATCAAAGCTTCGGTGAATTTGATGCAGTGGGTTCTCACGCCGTCGTTCTCAGTGTCCAGTAAATCCAGGACTTCTCCTTTCATCTGAGTGATCAGTTCCCAACACGCCTCCTGCATCCCCGAGATCACCCTCGACTGCACCAGCCACTGAGAAAGCACCACATTGGAGAGTTGTTTTATTTTCACAATAAACGCCAAAAGGAGAAATACATTGTAGCAGGTTGTAGCAAGAAAGCAAATGTAGATCTCACAGGAAATCTTTCAAAAGCAGTTTGGAGTACATCCCGACTCACAATGGCTTCAGTTGCTTCAGACACATATTTCAGAAATACTTGGAAGTGCTTTTTCAGTTAAATGTAAGTAAGTAATCATTATTTATATAGCGCCTTTCACAGACCAGTCACTAAGCGCTTTACAATTGTTTTGAGCATTTGTCTCTCACTCCACACAGAGAAGGGAGTGAGGTTCTGAAGGATTACTATTAACTACAACAGGCGCCGCTTCAGGGACTTTCATTCCTTTCTGTAGTAGAATTAATGTTGAAAATGAATGCCGTGAGTTTGAAAGGGTCATCAGAGACAATTATATTATAAACGCTTGTATAATTGTTACCACATCAACAATTATAGATGCATTTAAGGCAGAGATCTCAAGCAGGCGACCCGAGTGGACATCCACGTTTAATGTCAGAAAAGAGAAACACACACTTTATATCATCATGGACACCTACTGCACAGGTTTCAGAGGACCAGAACGAGCCAAAATGAAAGACTTCTACATTTTTGGGGAGAACTTTGAGCCAATGATTACAGTCCATTGAGAGGCTGTCGTTATGGAGGGGCTTGGTTTGTGTGTGTCTGTAGGATAGTGCAAAAGTATAGGATAGTGCAAAAGTATAGTATAACTGAAATTGTGTGTGTGGATGAGATGCGATGGTAGAAAGAAAAGAACATTGTCTGGACGTTGTAGTAATTTGCGAGAATGTGATTTACCTGCAGCGCAACTTTGTAGAGTTGTGTGAGGGCCAGGATTCCCTTCTTGATCACATTTACGCTGTCGTCTCTCAAAAGCATGTTCAGGTTAACGATCAGTTTGAGGAGCAGCTCATTGTCTCTTTTACTAACAAAGAAAACCACAAAAATCAGACAAAATAAACCCAATCATGAACACCAAGATATATACACAAGACAACTCACCAAGCTTCTTCAATGAACCCGATGACAAACTTTCGGACTTCTATGGATTTGTCAGTTTGAAAGGCAATCATCTCCTATGAACATACAAATATATCTTCTCATGGTAATGTTTGTTAAAAGTTGTATTTACCAAATGTTCTTATACTTACGTCCAGAAAGTTATCAAGGAGAGATGGGTCTTTGTTAATGATAAGTTCTTGGACCTAAAAAAGTAAATCACACAGATAAAAGTATTACTGAAACAGGGCTCGTCAGCATCTCTACTTTCTGCAGAAATTCACCACAAACTCTAAGATCCTGCTACACTTTTATCACTGCAAAATTGTAGCAATAAAAGGTGGTCTCTCTCTGGTCTCCAGAAAGAATCCAGAGAGAGGTGCTCCGCTCTGAGAGAAGACTGTGATCTGTCTGTTCTGGAGCTTCTTTATGAATCCAGACTTTGAGGGTTAGGGTTAGCTAATAATTAATAATCAATGACTCTTCTTCCCTCTGGTAGAAGCCATTGTTCGCTGAGATGGAGGACCTCTCGTTTTGATAACTGCTTCTTTCCAAAAAACTGTTATCAGTTTAAAGAGAGCACTTTAAATGATCTTGTATTTAAACTGTTCTTTGTTGTTTTGACACAGGTCAAAACAACTTGCAGAACTTTCATGTTAACACACTGTTTGGTCTCGTGCTAGGTCTTACTAGGTATACTAGGTCTTCAGAATGAAAAGTGCTTGTTGTTGTGATGTACCCAGCCCTACTTTGCTGTATGTATAAGATTAAGAGATCCTTTATTCATTCCCACAGTGGTAACTTTCCAGTGTTGCATCACAAGTTACAAAACACACAAAACAAGAATATGAAAGAATAGCGAAACAAAGAAAAAAACAAACATATATATATATGTGTATGTAACATCTGTAATAACTCTGTAATACACTCAAATGCAAGAATATTAAAGTACAGTATGGTACAGTACTGCTGACATTAAAATGTAGAAAAATCAAAGACTCACCTGTTTAAGTACAGTCAGTTTTTCATCTGTGGGAATAAGTGCTGCTTTATTTAGAAGATCCACCACCTGCAAATACATACATTATCAACACAATTTACTGGAACTGTTGAAAACCATTTATAGTAGCTCTGCACTCACAACTATATTGATTCCTCTGGGAACAGTCTAATATGGCTCACTCCACACTAAACTGTACCAATGTTTTAAATGTGGATCAATGAGACAAAAAAGTCCCTGAATGTCACGTCTGTACTATCAACAGCTCCAGACGTTATGGAATGCCCAGTTTGTCTGCAGTTATTGAATTATAGTTTTTTTTGCATAATGTATTGTATCCTCAATAATTAGAGGTTGATGATAGTTATATCTCCAACCATTAGCCATTAAATCCTGTCCTGGTAATTTTTCCATTCACAAAGCCTCCATGAGATTTCCTCTATAAAACAACTGTGTCCCCAAAATTCCATCTGAGATTATCCTACGAATATCTATAAACTATATAATATTAAATAATTATGAGGTACACACATTTATTTTATTGCCGCTTGAAGTAAGATTGACGTACAGTTTAGTGTGGCGTGAGCATAGACTGTATATATTGTGAGCCATATTGTAAATGTAATGAAACATTATAGCGTACCTTCTCACTGGTGGTCATGTCAATAATCTTTGGAGGGTTTTTATCTTTTGAGGGCATCTCTTCATCCATGTAGTTCATCTTGAATGTGTTTATGATTCGGGTGGTTGTTAACTTGAAATTTTCTTTTAACGCGGCTGTCTGTGAAATACAAATTTTACACAATTACAATATGTATCATGTTTTATCAGTATCAATGCAATTAACAGCAGCAGGTGTTAAGAGTTTTGACATATTTGATAAGGACAGGTGAACAAGCATGAAATGGCCATTTGTCTATGTATAATCCTCAACCTTTATAGCATCTGAATAATAAAAAGTCCAATACGTCTGGGAATAACAGGGACATAGCTACAGGCTAATGTTAGCATTGGAGAATATTCTCACTTTTCCGTATATTTTGGAAAGCTACTCACAGCTTTACGTGTAGATTTCTCTGAGTGTAGCACATTTATTCAAGTACGAGATCTGCAAAGGTGCATTATACGTCTATTTGCCATAATGTATTATAAAGTCTTGGTGAAAGCATCCAATGAGAGTATCCATGTTTGATTCAAAGAACGGTGCGTTTTCGAGCTTCTTCTCACAGAAACAGCGCTGGGGCCCCCTGCTGGAGAGGTGGAGGAACTGTTTGAGTTACTATTTTCTACCGATCAAATGAAGAAAAGAAATGAGGTTTTTATTCGAAAGACTAAAATTATATTCATATATATATAGCTATACAGTGACAAATGTATTCTTGCTTACACATGCCAACGTTCATGTATACACACAACACTTCCAGAGCAGTCATTTTGAAAGTGTAGCTAATTATATATGTACCTTTTGGTCTTCATAACTTTTTGTAACTACATGTAGTTTATTTCTATGACATTTAAACCTTTCTACATTTCAACCAAGCTAAAAGAATCTAGCCATTTTGTGTTGCTTGATAACCATCTTTCTACTGCAAGACAATTTTCTATGGCGTTGGTCCTGGACTGGTCTAATCAAATTAAAAGACAAAATGAATCGATTTTTAGCAAACCTAAAGTGAAAAAGATGAAAAATATTAGAAACACTGATTATTTTACAGAAACCATGGCAACAACTGAATAAAACTCACTTTCCCAGAATCCTGTGCGTGCGTAACTGTTGTCAGCTGATCGCAGACGGGCGGGGTGTGCGCGTGTTTACATCCGAGTACTGTCAATCATTTCTCTGTTGTAAAGGGCCCTTGTTTCGTCAATATTTTGATATATATAAACCTCTGCAAAGTCGACCATGGCAAAAATAGAATACCAACTTCCTACGTGCAGGTAAATAAAATATATATATATTTGACTCTTAACAAGGAAGTGCAGCTCGTGGTTCAAGCTAGCAAACTTGAAATGCCTTCGTAGAATAATTACGTTGCATAGGGTTTCCTTGTACATGTGTGGATATAGTTATAGTTATTTTCAAACACATAGAAACGCATGTTGTTTGTAGGTGTTCTTGGACGGAATATAAAGCTAAGACAGCTAGCTTAAATTGCTTTCAGTGATTTTGGCTTACAAGTGCAGTGTGTATGTCAGTATACACCATAGATCCATGGTATACACACAAGACTGTAGGAGATGGCTAACCACAGTGTTTTTATGCTGTGGCATATGTAAGGTGTTAATGAGACGTGTATAGACATCTAGCTACATTGTTATGATTTATGTATTATATCTTCTCTACTAGATGCCTACTAAAATGAAGTGAATTGGACTGACATCTTAATATTTGCAACTTCGCCTGTAAGAAGCACGCTGCTGAAGAAGGTAGGAAATGTTGACTATGCTTTTCAGGATTTATCTAATGTGTATGATTATTACATACTGTCCAAATTCCACTCTTGTGTCATAAACTAATGTCCCCAGCAGGAGCCTTGTTGATAGGAGGGATCATCTATGGTGAAATGCATGGCTCAAAACAGAATCATTTCAAAATGTGATTTTATATATATCATATTTATCAAGTTTTTATTTTTCTAGCAAATACCTTATCGCCTGAATGTCCCTCTCTTTCGGTTGTGGTTTGCTTTTTTCACACTATTTTGTATTATATTCTTAACAGCCTATTATTTAAGCACATCAATTGACATTTAATGTCATCCTGCTGTATGGCTCAATGGCTCCTCTGTGTTTGTTATTATTACATTTACGAACATGTTCCAATTGTTTGATCCTTTGATCTGTCTCCCTTGAGAGACAATTATAAATTGGATTTTAGCTACAGCATTTCTTTTGTCCAATCACTGTCCACACAAACATGATTTACAACCATTTTATTCATTCACATTTTTCATTGTGCATAGGACCATACTATATAGATACTATTATAGAGGCTTCAATATCACAATATTTCACTTTTATTTGCACCCACTCTCTGAGCTCCTTCCGTTTAAAGGCTTTTGCTGCCTATCATTTTAATTAATCACATCAAATCAAAATATGTTTATTTCCATACATTTGTAATCACCTATATTTATTTGTACCATTTGTATATTTATAACACCAATCCTCTGAACAAATTCTAATGCATTTGTACAACAAACATTTTTTTTTCTTATTACATAGTAAGCAAGTGGTTTAAAATGGTCCCCAGCTTTCTCTGGAGAATATACTTTAAATAGACTTTAAAACAGCTCTGTTTGTTACAAGTCCCTCCATGGTTTGTCCCGAAGTACATCTGTGACATGTTAGAGCTATATGCACCAACTGTGAGGAGCACAGGAACTGGCCCCCTGCTGATCCCAGAGTCAGGACTAAACATGAGGAGGCAGCATTTCAGATTCATGCCTCTAAAATCAGTCTTCCTGAAAATGTTGTTTTGTTCTGCACCTTGAGTTTCTGTGTGTATGAATTGTGCTATACAAATGCACTTTCCTTGCCTATATGAATATATGAGCTCATAATCGCAGTGCAAAGCCTGGATGTTGAGTTGATTGCCGTTTGCGTGTGCTGCAGTCTGGATGGAGTGGGTGTTTGTGATGAACCGGATGAGCGCCCAGAGCAGCTCCACGGTCCAGCGGCGGCGGATGTTTCTGGGCATCATCATCCTGCTGCTGGTGGATGTCATCTGGGTCGTCTCCTCCGAGCTCACCTCTGTAAGAACTACTCACAGCTAGAACAACACAGTAAATATATGTTTGTCTATAGAACTACACACTGCTAGAACAACACAGCTTCTCAGCAATAAGGTCCTGGGTTCGAATCAAAGTCGAAAAGAGGCCTTTCAGAGTGGAGTTTGCATGTTCTCCCCGTGTCTGTGTAGGTTTCCTCCGGCTGCTCCGGTTTCCCCTACCACTATAAACATGTATAATAGGTCTGTCATGTGCCTCCCATCACTGTGTGGAGTGAGAGACAAATGCCCACAATTGTAAAGCGCTTTGTTACTCTGGTCTGCGAAAGGCGCTATATAAGAAAAATATGACTTACTATCTTTATGTCTGTCTATAAAATACATACAACTAGAACAACACAGTATCTATATGACTGTCTATGTCAACTCATCACCTCACTGGGACATGTGACATGCACGATGGCACAGAAAGAAGGGCCTGGGTTCAATTCCAGCTCCAGGTCTTTCTGTGTGGAGTTTGCATGTTCTCCCAGTGTCTAAAACCATGTTTAATAGATATGGCATGTGCCTCTTGTATGGCGACCTCGCTCCCATCTCTGTGTGGAGCGACTCTGGTCTGTGAAAGGCGCTATGTAAACAAAGATTACTTCCTTACACAGTAAATTGATTTTTCAGACTGAACAAATGCTGACTCATGTTATTCCAGTGTTTGACTTTGTGCTTTTTGTTGTTTTTCTACAGTACATATTCAAGCAGCAGGAGTACAACAAGCCCTTCTTCAGCACGTTCACAAAGACCTCCATGTTTGTCCTGTATCTACTGGGCTTTCTGTTGTGGAGGCCGTGGAGGCAGCAGTGCACCGGGACTCTCAAAAGAAGACCCTCTGCTTTTGTAAGTTGATCTGGTTCTCTGGAGGAGAAGGCAGCGTCAAAAGATGTAGAACAACTTTAGCTAAATCTGCTTTCTCTGTGACAGCCGTGAGTCAGTGGAACACATTGCCCCCAGAGGTTATTGTGTGTACTACATTTAAAACATTTATTTGATTGACTTTAAGAAATGGCTTCTAAAAAAGTTTGCACACACATTTGAGTCGTTGATGAGTATGAATGTGGGTAATATTTTAGTAAAATTTGTATTAATAATAAATGAAATGTTTTGTATATAATGTTATTTAAAGTATGTAAGTGTGTAATGTATCTACATTAGAATCAGTTTAGATTAAACTATAATATCAGCCCAGGGACTTCAGGTACAATGCATCTCTCCTTTGTTTTAATGTTTAATTGTATACTGTCCCTTTTCAAATGAAGTACATTCCTTACCATACTTTACATGAGCCAAATCTGGATAATTTGTGGCAAAAAAACATTGCTTTTTTGTGGATGTAAAACTGTCAAACTAATAGACATGTATCCACAAGTCACTTAAGTCAGTTTCAAAGACCAACTTAATTCTCTGAAACTGACTGAGAGTGTTTGCCGTATGTGGAAGAAGCTGTTTTGAATATAAGCTAGTTTATTACAATTTCAAGCTTAAATTAGACAAGCTTTGACCCTAGTTTACGTAGGTATTCCTTTTAATATCTACAGCCCATTCCTATGTCCGAACAGAAAGTAGAAATTTAAACGTCAACACCCTTTGAAGATTAGGGAAAACTATGGAAGATTTTGTGTCAAAGAATAATATATGAATCTATCTCTATCTATTTCATATTGTTCTTTATGATTTAAACCACTCAATAAAATCCATGCATTCAATTCATATCAGTTTATGCAAGGTTAAAGTATGAGCCTTAGAAATTGAGAACATGCTTCTATGGCCTCATAAGTTCTCGTCTAATTCCAGTCATAAACAATTGCCTTTGCTCCTGTCTTATTTGTGCTTGCCTTAAATATAAACGTCACACTATTTAAGTAACACAGTGAATGGCATGTCGCTTGTGAGTGGCTCAGATAATAGAGTTTGAAAGCCCTAATCCTTAATGTTTTCATTTCTAGTTTGCAGATGCCGAGGCTTACTTTGCTCGCTGCAACACTGACGCGGCTGCGGACAACTGCTTGGTATGTAAAGAAGGAAAATGGCAGTTTCTGTAGTCACGATATTACACTTATTCAAACCAGCACTGCATTTTGCAAAACTATAACTAAAGCCATTTGTCTTCTTTTGTTTTAGAGTGAACCGCTGTATGTTCCGGTCAAGTTCCAGGATGTACCCAACGAGACGTCATGCAGTTTGATCGGTGACATCGAAACAAGTGAGTTTGGGATGGATTCACTGTGATCTAAGGCCCTGTCCAGACAAAGACAAAATGGTGTATCATTTTGAACCCGTATTGTGTGAAGGCGGAACGAGCTTTGTAAATGTATCCGACCACACAAAACTGAAGAAAATCCCAAAGAACCAATTCACCTGAGAGAATTGTTAATATACGTGCCAGGCCTGAAGGTGGCGCTATGAGGCTGTGACGGGGATACCAAACAACAACAATAGGGCTAATTATGCGCTATCGGCTGAAACTGTAAATACACAGCAGGTGAAGAGAAGAGGAGGCTTTTTTATGAGTAGAAACATTTTGCCTAAGACTTGAATAACTATGTGGAGGATATATTTATACTGTATATGACTCAATTCTGCAGTAAATGTATGTATTCTGCATAAAATATATAAATAAGTTAGTTTTTGTACAGTATGTGGATCTAACGTCTCTGTGACTGAAATCGTCTCTGTCTGGACGGGGCCAAAATGTAATGGAAAAATATTTGTTACATGTACAAAGTGAACGGTGTCTTATATTGATTGTATGTATTTGTATTTATTTCTTTTAGCACATTGTTTCAGGTTATACTAGATTTGTATGATTACAAGGCAAAGTTCATTAAAAGCAAATTCATTTATTATCATCATCATCCATCCATTTTCTTCTCCTTAAACCATTTCACAGAGCACTAAGCACAACCTCCAGGCTCAAAGGCCAATGCTCTGCCTACTGAGCCACTGTGACCCCTATTATTATTATTATTATTATTATTATTATTATTATTATTATAAAAATTTACAATAACAGCCATAACCTTAGCCTTAGCTTTTTTGTGCACTGAAGGGCATTGTGATATTATGTAAAAGGAGATTCAGTATTTCCTCATATTTGAATTATCCTAGTTCCGTTTGAATGTAGTCCTAGCTTCTTAATCCCAATTGTTTTCTTAAAAATTGCAATTATACACGAGTTAAAAGCATTCAGCCAAAATGAACCAGCTCAGAAATCATCAAACTTGAGAACTGAACTAAGACGACACACTATCCACTCTTGCCTCTGATTTCCCCTTTTCCCCTTGGCTTCTCTTTTTAAGCATACGTCTTCTTGTTTGTCCTGTTTGATTACGGTCTCACACTAACCTCTGCCCTGCATTTTTCCCTTTAGCCTCCTCGAAAAAGCAGCGTGTTCGTTTCAGTAACATCATGGAGGTGCGTCAGCTGCCCTCCACTCAGGCCCTGGAGGCAAAACTGTCCCGGATGTCCTATCCCGCCGCCAAGGACCACGAGGCCATGCTGCAGACCGTGGGCAAACTCACAATCACAGACGTGGCCAAAATCAGCTTTTTTTTCTGCTTTGTGGTCAGTGAAACAAAAGGTTTTAAGGAGTGGGAAGAATGGTGAACGAATATCCCAATGTAATTTACTTCTTCTGAAAGATTCCCAGTTCTGTACTTGCTGGGGCTATAAGCAACGACTTTTTTTCAAGATCTTTGAACGCTGATATAGCAATGTGGCCAATGATGTATGTATTTTTGATTTGTGAGAGCTTCCCCTGGGGTGCTGAAAGGGGTTTGGACACATCTCTGTTAGCTGTTGATCTCCTGATGACATTCCTGCTTCCTGATGTGTTTATGTGAATAGCAGAGATGGTCTACTTTGTGAAATACACCCAGACCCAGCCATATTTTTAATCTTCAATACCCATACTGATGGAAGGAGGTTTTCACTCCAAACTCACAACACATGGCCCCATTCATTCTTTCCTTTACACAAATCAATCGCCCTGGTCGCTTTGCAAATAACAGCCCCAAAGCATGATGTTTCCACCCCATGCTTCTTTATTTTTGAAACTATTGTGATTGTCATATCATATCTTTTTTTTCCTATTCAAATCCTATTCAATTCAAGAGTTACTGTTTGTCTTTCAGTGGTTTCTTGCCAATCTCTCGTATCAAGAGGCTTTGTCTGACACACAAGTGGCAATCGTCAACATTCTGTCTTCAACCTCAGGTGAGCAAACTTCTCTGAGAAGAAATGTATTCGTCACCACTTCATTTATGCCAATGTTATCCCTTAAACTGCATCATGAAAATATTGACTTACTTACTTTCTTTCTCATAAGAAGACTGCAGATAAAATCAGAAAAACTGGAAAAATATGTCTTTGTTTGAAAGAGACAATATACTGAGATAATGTTGACCTCAAAGTCTGAGATAACTGAACTAAAAGAATAGAGAATCAAAGCCATGTCAAAACTATCATTACAATTCGTATAGGTATCATGTCAATGTGTGTTTTTGGGCTGAGAGCTAGTGGGTGGTCCTCTCTTTATTTAATTATCTGTCTCAAAAAGTTGATCTAAAGATGTGACAAAGACCAAAATTCAAATCAATTCAATGTATTATTATATCGCCCTAAATCACAACAGTAGTAATCTCAAAACTTATCAAAACCGTTGAAATCGTCAACACAGATCAGAGAATCATAGAATAGAGAACACATGTATTGGTTCATAGAGAGTTGACCAATGTCCATAAATGTTGTAGAATGTAGAGTGTCCTGGATCATCACCACAGTCTAACACTGCATCTCCTGCATCTCTAAAGAAAAACTCTAAAACCCATAATGGCCTAGTAAGCATTTAAAATACAGGTCAAAGGTAACAGTCTTAACCACAAAGAGAGACACAATAGTTTGATATATACAGCTCACAATTATTTACAATCAGCTCAATGACTGCAAACCTGGTTAATCTGGCTGAGTTTAAAGTGTCCCGGTGAGCTTCAATCCCTCACAGACACAGGTCCTGCTGCGGTCACAGAGAAACAGTTCTGTCCAAACATAGAGAATACAAAGACATTTAGTTGTGGGGGTGCCAGGTTGTGGAACATTTTGTACATTCAACATATATTGGCACATTTGGCAATAATGAAGATGTAGCTGACGAAAAAACCACAACAATGAAGCAAAATAATCACATTTGTCACATGGTTTAATCTCCTATACCTATACCCTATCAGACAAAGGACATGGTAGGTTTTCACAACTTCTCCTGGGCTTTGAAGGACTAACTCTTGCAACATCAGTCCTGTCCACATTAACAGTACCACACTGGTATTTGGCCATCAGATAGAATCTTGTGTTTCTTGGTCAACTTGCACTTTTATTGAACTTAACCTACCTCTACCCTAACCCTATAGCAATACCCTAACCCTATACCTATACGCATACCCTATATCTATACCCATTCCCCCCTATACCTATACCTATATCCTAACCCAATCTATTGATTCTGAAACTTTTTCTTTGTCTTCCTCTTAGGTCTTTTCACACTCATCTTGGCGGCCATCTTCCCCAGTAACAGCAGCGATCGCTTCACTTTATCCAAACTTCTGGCTGTGGGTTTAAGGTACGTGATGCTAACGAGAAAGGACTGAACCATAAAAAAACATTTAAAAAATATGACAACAATCATATAACATCTTCCTAACACTAGTACAGTACTTATAAGTGCATTGTTGTGGGTTCATGTGCAGGTATAGATTTCAGGTCTTTGTCTCTGGTCTCTTTCTGGTCTCTTTCTGGTCTATCTCTTGTCTCTCTCTCGTCTCTCACTGGTTTCTCCCTCGTCATTCTCTGGTCTCTCCCTCTGGTCTCTCTTTCTGCTTTCTCTCTCTTTCTGGTCTATGGTCTCTGGTCTCTCTCTGGTCTCTTCCTTGTCTCTCTCTCCAGCCTCTCTTTTGTCTTTCTCCATGGGATTTTTTGATTGTCTGTCTATCTGTTTTTTTCACTTAAAATATCAAGAAATAAAAATGGAACATGGAAAAAATTCTTTATTTAGTATTTATTTATTAAGTCAGATTGATTATTTTTTCAGTATGGGAGGAGTGGCTCTCGTCAGTCTCTCCAGTATGGAAAACCCTGATGAGAAGGGAGCTATAGGTAAACACTACAATGTGTAATTAATCTCACTTATTTGATTTCATTTGATAATTATAATGTGTGTTATTCTCTCAGGTTCGTTGTGGTCCTTAGCTGGAGCCATGCTTTATGCTGTGTACATAGTGATGATAAAGAGACGAGTGGACCGGGAGGACAAACTGGACATCCCCATGTTTTTTGGTAATAACCTCTGGTCTCTCTCTGGTCTCTCTCTGGTCTCTCTCTCTGGTCTCTCTCTCTGGTCTCCTTCTCTGGTCTCTCTGTTCTCAATCCAATCCAATCCAGTTTATTTATAAAGCACTAATAAAAACAATATGGTTGACCAAAGTGCTGTACATAAAAAGACATACACAAATATACATTTACAAAATACAAAACATTGGCAAAAAAATATTTACAGCAAGAAATCAATTGAAATCAATTAAAAGCCAATGAGAACAAGTGTGTCTTAAGACGAGACTTAAAAACAGGAAGTGACTCAGACAGTCCCACACACAGGGGCAGCTCATTCCATAATTTAGGACCAACAACGAAAAAGCTCGATCTCCTCTGAGTTTCCGTTTAGTCGGAGGAACCAAGAGCAGAGCCTGATCTGCCGACCTAAGCGAACGTGATGGAACGTAGGACGTCAGTAGGTCAGACAGATAACGCGGAGCAAGGCCATTCACGCATTTATAGACATACAAAAGGACTTTAAAATCAATCCGGTAGCGAACAGGAAGCCAATGAAGGGATGACAGGACCGGAGAGATATGCTCATACTTCCGAGTTCCTGTTAACAGACGCGCCGCAGCGTTCTGTACCAGCTGCAGACGAGCAAGTGAGGACTGGCTGATCCCTGTGTACAAGGCGTTACAATAGTCCAGCCGAGTCGCTACAAAAGCGTGAATTAAAATTTCAACATTCTGCCTTGACAGGGAGGACTTTATTTCAGCAAGTTGCCTTAAATGGAAGAAACTAGACTTCACAACTGCACTTATTTGTTTATCAAATTTAAAATCAGCATCCATTTTGACTCCAAGGTTTGAAACTATGGGCTTAACAAATTGTGTTAGAGGTCTCTCTCTGGTCTCTTTCTCTTGCTTCTCCCTGGTCTTTCTCTTGTCTCTCTCTTCTCTCTCTCTGGTCTCTCTCTCTCTTCTCTCTCTGGTCTCTCTCTCCTGTCTCTCTCTGGTGTCTATCTGGTCTTTCTCTTGTCTCTCTCTGGCCTCTCTACTACAGACGGACACTGTTTATCGAGTCCGGTTTTCAGTTGTGTCTGCTGTTTCTCCAGGGTTCGTGGGTCTGTTTAACCTGCTGCTACTGTGGCCTGGCTTCCTCTTCCTTCACTATACCGGGTTTGAGGCATTTGAGCTCCCGAGTCAACTGGTCTGGACCTACATCCTCATCAACGGACTCATCGGAACAGTCCTGTCTGAGTTTCTCTGGCTGTGGTGAGCTTCTTTTCCTCAGTCTTTCAATATTTACCGACTTAAAACTCAAACAAAAAAGTTGTGAGTATTTGCCAAAGGGTTGGGTGATATTAAAGTCGCAGTACCTGACTATCAAACCACAATAATTTCTATGTAATGTATTAAATAAAAACAAATTTCTTGCTCTCAAAACAGGTTTTATCACTTGTTTTCACATTGTTGGTTGCATCTTTTGGTCAAAAAATGTTCAAAAAGAAAAGAAAGTAGATTGGATCCTTTTAATTTGTATGTGTGTTCTTATAGTTGTCCTAGTCATTTAGCTATAAATGGTCTCTCTACCTGGTCTGTCTCTCTGGTGTCTCTCTCTGGTCTCTCTCTGGTCTCGCTCTGGTCTCTCTCTGGTCTCTCTCTGGTCTCTCGCTGGTCTCTCCCTGCTCTCTTTGGTCTCTCTCTCTCTGCTCTCTCACCTCTATCTCTCTGGTCTCTCAGCTCTATCTCTCCAGTCTCCCTCTGGTCTTGTTTCTTTGTCTGTGATGTCACCAAACCACAGAGTCACAGAACCAACAACCAAACTTTCAACTGTGCAGCAATAAAAGTGAAGCACAATCTTAGAGTTTGTAGTAAATTCTCTAGGTTTCCGTAGAAAGTAGTGTTTTTGTTTTATTCCCATCACACAACATTGGATCATTGTTGTGTCTTTGGGAAGAAACTAAAAACTGGACTTTGAGAGAAAAAAATGTGTTGTGTTGATAGAATGCTCAGTTCTAACCTCGCTCTCTGTTTTTCCAGGGGCTGTTTTCTTACTTCATCGTTAATTGGGACTTTGGCTCTGAGCCTCACCATTCCTCTCTCTATTCTGGCTGATATTTGTATGCAGAAGGTAAAGTTGCAATACAGCCTCTTCACCAGCAGAGGGCATGTTAATCGACCTTTCCCCTGCTAATAAGTTATCACAAAGATGTAAACATGAACTGAATTGGCTTTGCCCTTAAAAATGTGTGATATCTCTACAAAATGAATCTCCCTTAAAAGTATGCTAAAAAAAATCTTGCAAATTTGTATTAAAAACAATTCAATAATCAAGGTTTTTTAAGGCACTAAAGTTTTTGTCAAAATGTTTGCTGTAGTGATGGAACATTCAAGCTGTGTTTCACCATTTATTATTTTAGACAAAACAATAGTTCAGGTGAAATCAGCTGTTTGATAAATCACCAAAATTTCTGAAATTAACACAATTAACACGTTTTCTCCCCCAACTATTGGATTTCTTGCATGTTTATATTGTGTGGGATGTGAAAAGCCAGATCCTGTCAGACTTCTGAAGCAAAGCAGAGACCTGATGGGAGACCTCTGGGAACATCAGGTGCCACAGTGGGGCGGCTGCGGCTGTAAAGTGTCAAACTGTGGTTGTGTACTTAGGCAAGACACTTCACCCACACTATTATGAGTCTGGTGTGTGTGTGAATGGTTGGTGGTGGTGGGAGGGGCTGATGGCACATACTGGTTGCCTCGCTTCTGTCATTGTGCCCCAGGGCAGCTGTGATGCAGTATTTGTTTATCACCACTGTGTATGAAGTGAAAGAATAATGATGTGAAGTGACTTCAATGAATTTTCTGAGAGTCCAGAAAAGCACTATATAAAACCAATGCATTATTATTTAGAATAATTATTTGTCTGTCCCCAGCTGAAAGGTTTGCCTTAAACTGAACTTGAACATGTTGCTTCTTTGGCGGTGATCTTCCGTTTGTGATAAAGCAAATAAGGTGTTAATTACTCATTCAATCATTCTTTTACACCAGTGTAGTTTATGGACAGCCCTGGGTCACCGATATGTCTGCCCATTCAAGTCGTGCTCATCGGTTCATGCTCAAGCCCAGTCATTAGACCCGCTCTGGTTCACCCGGTCTATCGCAGTAGGTTTTGAATGGTTCTACTTCTGTAAAGACCAAAGTAACACATGACCAATCAGCCCCCGCATCGATCAAAGTGAAGCTAGAGCAAAGAGAGAAAAATTCACAATGACAAAAAGACTCTGTCAGAGGACGAACCGTTTTGGTTAACATTGAAATCTATTAGAACATTTCCTGTGGAGCCCCGGTTAAATAGTACAGCGGGTGACCTACTTTTTTGCTGGAGACAACATAAAGTTCAAGTATTATACTAAAAGAAGTTGTTTTCCCCTTTTTTTTACCCATTCCCATTGACAAAATAATTGCATAGATCATTTTATCAACACATCTTTTTTCTTCTACAGGGTTGAGCTAGCAATACCCTGTACACTTATCATAATGCATCCGTTGAACAGTCTGGTTGTTGATCGCCCTCTGGTTGTTCACAGGTGCGTTTCTCGTGGCTGTTTTTTGCCGGAGCCGTTCCCGTGTTTCTTTCCTTCTTCATCGCGGCTCTTCTCTGTCACTACAACAATTGGGACCCGGTGCTGGTGGGACTGAGGCGCTTCTACAGGCTCCTCTGCAGAAGACACCGGCTGCAGAGGTACTCTCTCCTCTCTAGGGCCTTTCACTTATTCAGCACCAAGACACTGGCCAACTCACATATTCATTACATCGTGTTGTGATCATTTTAATTTAACTTTATTACAGACTAAGTCCAATTAAAGCATACAGACAAGACTATTATCAACAAACAAACAGTTATGACTTTAAAAGACAGCCAAACCAGAGACTACACATCTGGGATTTCATTGGAGTGGAACTAGCCTGGTCTTACCAAACCATTGTACTCATTTCATTTCGTACTAGGGTCTGGATTTGCTCGGTTGAGCTCTATTAAGAGGTGTGAGGTATTAACTCGTTTTGCTGATTGAAACGATTGGATCTGAGTTTACTGTGACGTATGTAATGCTCCCGAGTGAATGAGGCATTTAGCATAGCTTTAGCGTTTAGCCTAGCTTTAGCCAATTCCTTTGCTATTAATGGAGCCTGCGGGAAGTAGAGCCACAACATCTTTGCAGCAATGACGTTTGCTAAACATTCCTCTTGCTCCTTCAATTTCGAGTCGAGCCAAAACGGATTACTTAACTATCGCGTTTGCCGCCATTGTCGAACTACAACCAACAAATTCGGCACAAACTCTTGACGTCACTGACACCTCCCTACAACACCCGCCTCCCCCGCTCGCTGATTGGTCGAAGGGGATTCAACCGAGGAAACTGCAGCCACTAAGATCAGACCCAGACGCACATGTATGAAATGATAATGGACCGGAGTTTAGGGATGGATAAGGCCACACTCGAGTGGAACTGTACCTGCAAATGAGATTTCATTTCCTGATTTGTTTAGTCGACAGATGAACTTGTACTTTGGGGTCTGTTTGTTCACTTGTGAGATGACGAACAGATCAGACTTTTGCAGCTCAGACGGTCTAAAGAGTCTTTCTGGACATTGTGATTTTGGCTGTGCATAAAAAAGTTAGTGGTAACTTGTCCTTGATATTGAGGCTTTAACAGCTAGCTCTACTTACATTGTGTATTCTCCCTGAGTCTCTTGCTGCAACATTGAAATTTCCCCACTGTGGGATAAATAAAGGATCTCTCATAATCTATAGAGAGATTTGCTTAAGGCTGTTAAAAGATATTACATTTAAATAAATCTTGTTGGTTTCTGGTGATAGAACCGAACTGTTTTGAGAGCTGCTGGTTAGATTTGATTATTTTCAGTCTCTAAATGAACTGAAAACATTTGCAGACATAGTTGTTTCCAAAGTCACAAGCGGCTCATTGTACCGAATAATATCAGAAGGTGTCATCGCGGCTGTTGTAATCTGTTTGCACATCTCTGACGCTTCAGCGATTTCAAAAGAATAATTATTAACTTGATGCAGTCTCGGTCTCATCCCAGTTCACTGACTAAACCATTAGATAGGAACAAATTACTCAGAAATGTGCCAAATGTTTGCACTTTACCTTAACTTTCCAGACTCCATCTCACTGCAGGATTTTGGGGAAATAGTGAGAGTTTATTGTAGACAAGTCATTATTCTATTCTTTGTTCCAACTCCAAGCCCCAATTATTGCATTAAGGAAGATCCCAAAGGCAAATGTATCTTGTAATTTCAGGCAGATGTGAGAAATGGTTATTGTTGATAATAAACTGTACTTGAATGAATCTCAGATAAGACTAATATTATTATTAGGCCTTATTAAAGGGACGCTGTGTAATGTTTACAGTTGCGCCAAATGAGAAAAAACATGTTAACCAATAACCTTTTTAAGAATATTTACCTCCACCATGTTTTTGAATTGTTGTCATAGGATTAGAATTTGACTTATAAAAGTACATGAGGCTGGAGGACTCTACATGTCACTGCACCATCTTGAAATACAGTGGTCGATAAGGGACTAAAAGGAGTTTGACCGCAGTTGGGGACCACTGTCAAAGACGACATATTGTCCTGCAAAGCTGCCATAGTACCGAAGATTACAATAAATGATCTCAATGCTGGATGGGAGTAAAAAGTACACATTGTAGGTTGTAGTTGGTTGATCTTATGGCACAGAGATAAGATCAAGGTTGTAGTTGGTTGATCTTATGGCACAGAGATAAGATCAAGGTTGTAGTTGGTTGATCTTATGGCACAGAGATATTAAGCTCATAGAAACAGTGACCTTTTGCGGTCACGTTGTGGTTCGGTGGGCGCTAAAGGTGCCCCCTGCTTTTGCCAGTTGGCTACTGTGGTTAATTATGTCACAAAGAAGGACACTAATGTAACTGTACCTGGAAGTCAATCACTCCCTCCATACTGCGCCTAATTAACTTGATTGTGGAATTTGGTGAAAAGCAGACAGAAGTGACTGCAGTTCCAGCTGTATCCATGAGGTGGCAGACTTTAGGAAGTCTCATTTTCCAAAATGTCAGTGCCTTCAAATTGGATGCCCAGTCATAGCTGTTCATTATCAGATCAGACTCAAGTTTTTGAAGACTATTTTGGAATCCTTGTGTCACTGTATTAATGGCATTCACTTCACTGAAAGTGGATTGGTGCTATAGTTTTCAATACACTTGTTTAATTGTTTCTAAACATTCATGGAATTCTACAGCTGTAGTGATTCACATCTTTTGGGATTCTTTTGGAATTATTTTTATCCCTAGAAAAGTAATGTCTAGGGGTAGTAATGTATAACTTTGATTGGACATGATTTTTGCCATGTGAACATTTACTCCAACCATTTGCCGAAGGATTTAGATTTTACTTCAATATTTATGATTCACATGCCCACTGCCCACAACTTTAGTAAGTTAAAACTAAATACAATTAATCACCGTTCAATCGGCTCCTTTTTCCACTGGTGTTTGAAGATGTACTGTAGCTCTGTCTCATTCTAGTCCTTGGAAAGCAGCTCTCCGGGGAAAAAAGGTTGGATTCTCCTGATTTACTCTATACCCTGATATCTTAGAAGAAATTGACCATTTTCATTTTCTGGATTACGCTGCAAAAAATGATATATAATGTGGTAATATTTGCATGAATCAAGTGTTTTTGAAGATTCTGACTGTGGTCATACAAGATTCTTCAATGGGACAAAGCCATTTAGTCTTATTTTTAGGAACTGTTGCTTTATTTCCTCATTCCAAAGGAGATATTTCTGTATCTTTTTAAAATAAGATCATTATGCTTTGTCCCATTGGGGTATTGTGTTTTAAGGCACAGTCATATTAAGATACATTTAGCCAATTTTGAGCAGATTTTGGCTTTATATGTCCCCTTTAATACTGCTGATTTAAGCGTATGTATTTAAAGGAATTGAGATATTAGTCAGACTATCAGACTGACATATTTGACTGGAGAAGTTCTTTACAATCCTCTTTTTTTGTGTATATATAACTGGACATTCACGTGGCATTATTTTTTTCGATGGTGGTAGAGTAACTCTTGCCCTGGAGGAGACTGACAGAACTGAGACAAATAATCTTGATTAAAAGTAAAAAAAATTTCAAATTAAGATATATTCTGCCAGCTATTTTTGAATTATTTTTCATGTGTGGCTGATATGAGATACTTGTTTACTGGTATAAGTCTGTGTCTGGTTCCATCACTCACTCGCCTTCGTGTGGAGGATGTTGCTCACGTTCAGTCTGTGATTTTCCACAAAGAATCCTGTGTCGTTACTTTGGCATTTTCTAAAAGGGTAAACAGACAGAGCGGCTTAATGGGTGAGAGGCCCCTCCGCAGTCTGGAAGCCTCCAACACAAACACATCTGGGACAGACTTCATTAAGCACCTGGTCTCTGTGCAAAGAGCTGTGGAAATATCAGAAAACTCACAGAAAAGGCAGAGATTTTAACAACAAAACTGGACATGTTAGTGCTGAATCTTTTATGTCTTTTGTAAGCTACTTCTCGGAGAAGTTTTTAGACTGTACACTGCAAAAACAATATCATAATTCACAAGAGGGTTATTATCAGGCTATTCGTGGGACTGCTGTTGACCAAAAACATTCTTTAATGGGAGTGAAATCAGATTTGCATCCAGCCTGATGTTATTTTTTTAATACACTTTTAGTGGCGATTTCCTGGACCACTGCTTTGTCTGTTCTTTCTTTGTTACGTTATTGTTATTTTCTCTATTTTTTAAATGTATTTACTGGGAGGATAAACCCAGAGAGAGAAAGAATCTCGTTCCTGTCCTTTCTTTTTTATTGTTTATGGACTTATGATGGGTGATGCATGGTGAGCTGGTAATGGTATCCAGAGACATATGGTATTAACTTCTCTCTGTGATGGAGGCGCAGGTCTTCACACTACTGTAGGAGAATTTTAACAAGATTTTGATCAATATTCTGTAAATGCCAAAACAAGCACACCTTCAGCCTGTATTCTTGTCTGTGTGTGTTTTTTTTGTGTTTTTTTGTTTTTTTGGTGAGCAGTCCCATTACTTAAAACTTATATAAAGACATATCTAATGCGAGTCACGAATTGAGCTGAGAGCTGATTGGCTGAAAGACTGGTCATATCCTTTAACCTCTAACCCTTAGCTGATCTAAAGACAAATCCACGAACATGTGAAAACTAGTTGCAGGGTTAGGGTTCGCCAGGAGCAGGGAAAATCAGGTACCCCAGCTTTAAATGATGAGTATTGATGTTGTGTCCACAGACTTCCAGACGACAGTGAGCAGTGTGAGAGTCTGATTCCCCTAAACACCATCTCTCCACACGAAGCTGACTACTGCTCCTGATCCACTCACAGTAAGCGGCCGTTTGTGCAACTTTAATATTGTCTGTTCATATTTTCATCAGACATATGGACAACAACAAGGCAAGGTTATTTGTATAGCACAGTTCATACATAGGGCATAAATAATCACAGTACAATATAAAATATTTAAGATAAAATCCTTCAGTTGTAGCAGCAAAACAGAACAGACCAGGGCCTTTCTGAGTGGAGTTTGCATGTTCTCCCTGTGTCTGCGTAGGTTTCCTCCGGGTACTCCGGTTTCCCCTACCACTAAAAATATGTACAATAGGTCTGGCATGCGCCTCCTGTACTGGGGACCCCGATCCCATCTCTGTGTGGAGTGAGAGGACAAGTGCCCAAAAATAACAATTGTAAACCGCTTTGTGACTATGGTCTGTGAAAGGCGGTATATAAATAAAGATCACTTACTTATTCTCTGAGTCTAGATCCAGAAAAGTATCTTTTTGTTATATTTTTTATATGTAATTCAAGGTGATGATACTTTAAGACAGACTTCTACACTATTGCACAGTATTAGACTTATCTTTAGTTTTGAGCGATGAGTTGGACGGAAGATTACGGGGCAAATATTTTGTCTGAAGCAGGCCACCCACGTTCGAGACCAGGTCAGTCTGTGTCCGGCCAAAAGATGGAGCTTATAGTTTAGTCAGAGCTCTTCTTATCTGTGTCTGTAACTGCACTCTGCAAAAGCCGAGGCCGTGGAGCAGATGTGAAAAGCAGCATGTGGCTCTAATCGACAACTTCCACCCTCATTTACAGCTAAAAGATCCTCACTCAAACTCCTGGAGATGAAAGATGATCACCACATTTTACAAAACCTGCTGAGATTCAAACTGCGGGTTTCTTGCAAAAAGCAGGTCTAAAATCTCTAACTTTAGCTTAATAAAGAAGAAAGTTTAAAATCTCTAGCTTTGGCATAATGAAATATAAAATCTAGCTTTACCCTAATAAAGAAGGAAGGATCAAATCTAGCTTTTGCTTAATAAAGAAGCAAGTATAAAATCTCTAAAGTAAATGGCAATGGACACATGTGGTTCTATATTTCACATTCTGGAATTTTTATTATAATTAATCAAAAAAATGTAAGTAATGATTCATCCCTTGTTTCCTTTTGTCTCCTGCAGATTTCCCGTGAGTCAAAAGTGACTAAAATGAACAGACAATCTGTCAGAGACATTCACCAGTGCCTGCTCTTCATTCTATTTATTTAACCTGAAGACCCCAGCGACACTACACATGCCTCTTTTGGACATAAGCTGAACTCCTCTGGTCTCTCTCATGTGCTGGACAGTCATGTGACCAAAACCAAACGGTACGACTTGAAAACGGATGGATCCAAGGCCAAAACGCTGTGCTTACTTCAAGATAAAACCACTAATGTTCCCTGGAGAGACGTATCTGTAAGTTTCAATGCTGCTGTGAAGGCAAAAATAAATGTACACTACTTTGAACTTCCATCATGTGAAGCAAAACTTTTTAGCATCTTGTAAGCGTTACCGAGCCTGGCTTCAGACCCAACTTTAGCTCCTCCTACATGTACTTTCAGCGGGCCTGTTCCACACTCCTGCTGAAATTGTATTTAGGCTGAGCTAAATGCCGACTGGAGCCAAGCTAACCTTTACCAGCAGTATGGTTTAGCCAACATGGTGTGCTAATGCTAATGCTAATGCAGATTCGATCCAAAAATGGTCGAAAATCACTTTAGCTACTGTCTCTAGAATCTGTTTTTATGCCTTTTGTGAGAAACACATTTCAAATACTGTCCTAAAGTCCAGTTTCTTCTGTAATTCAACTGATGTGAAACGCACAAAGTGAGAGACACTAACCCTTTACTGGCTGAGTGGTTAGTATTAAGTAGTAGGAAGTCCTCTTTATTTAAATAGCGCATTTCTACAGAGTTCAGATTTTGTTCCATTCTCTCCACACTGGTCCATCAAAGCCTCCGACCAAACACCATCCATTCACTCACTCATTACATTCAGACCTATTGTACATGTTGTACATGTACATGTTAGTGGTATGGGAAACCGTAGCACCCGGAGGACACCTACGCAGTCACGGGGAGAACATGCAAAGTCCTTTCAGAAAGTTCCCCTTCCGACCGGGATTCAAACTCAGGACCTTCTTGTCACCGTGTTGCCTGTTTTAGCACTCTTGTTTCTCAGCAGGAGTTTGAAGCCAGATCGTTTGAATCTCGGTCGTGGGCATGTGAGTGGAGTTTGCATGTTCTCCTTGTGTCTGTGTAGGTTGCCTCCAGGTGCTCCAGGCAGTTACCCCTGCTTCTAAAACATGTACAATACATAGGTAAAATCCTGACCAAGAGCATCAACATCTGGAGAATGGGCCCCGTTACCACGACGACACATTTCTATTAACTTTATGTTGATAGTTACACAGCTGTAAAAAAAAAAAAAAAATCCCAAAATAAGATTTTTTTTAAAATTGGAATATTATTGGCCACTTTGCTTGTAAAGAGTCTACATCAAGTATTAGTTTCACATTTTAAGTTTAAGTACAGAAATTAATAGCAATGTTATCGAAATTTGAATTTTCTGAGTTTCAACCCGCCCTTCTCTACTCACAGTAGAGTAGAGTAGAGTAGAGTAGAGTAGAGTAGAGTAGAGTAGAGTAGAGTAGAGTAGAGTAGAGTAGAGTAGAGTAGAGTAGAGTAGAGTAGAGTAGAGTAGAGTAGAGTAGAGTAGAGTAGAGTAGAGTAGAGTAGAGTAGGTGGAAACGGGGCGAAAAAGGTGCTTTAACACTACATCATTTACACGTTTTATTTAGGAACAATCTTTATCATTCTCGGGGTTAAAAACAGCCAATAAACACATCCCAACCACTTCCTTTTCTATCATTTCTACACTTTTAAAAACCCTATATTCCATCTATTACGTACATTGCTTATTTGACCCGTCCAATTTACAATTTACGTCGCTATTTTTAGTTGTTTGTCGCCTTTGTCCACACGCTGAAGGGGTAATGTCAATGTTGTGCGTGAAAAAAAGAAGTTTTATTGTGCGTTTTTATGGATTGTTATGATTGCCGTGAAGGACTGAGCGGAAAAGTGCGTTTTATGGATCTACTAAACACACTTTGGATGTGGCAGGTCTCGTGTTTTTAAACCGAAAGGACCGACACTGTTGCACTTATTATCTCTCTCACGTTTGCCAATATTCTTGAATCTGTCGGTAAAAACAAATCTTTCTTTTTTATTGTGTTTTGATGTCATATAAATGGTGCTTATGATTTGTCTTGGGTTCAGTGCAGTTTCTTTATATTTAAGTGTCTTATAAGTGAAGGTTTGAAGGCTGTGATTCACTGTTATTTTGTTTTAGTCCTAAATTTTCATATCTACAGTGCACTATTAAAAGGAAATTCAAAACTGACATTTTTGGTATTTTTTTTTTTTACTCTGTCTGAATGAAGAAAAATATAAAATTGGGAAAACAATACCTGCTTGTTTACAGTTATTAACATGTTATAGACCAATGTTTGTAATTACTGTATTTCCTCTGTTTGAACTGTTTCTCTGATCTGTGTTGCCGAATCGACGACTTTGGAAAATCCTCCGAGAAGTCTAACGTTGTGATTCAGGGATACACAAAAAAATACAATTGAAGAAACTAAGCAACGCTGGCCCTGGTTAGTATTGGGATGGGAGGCCACTGAATACTGCTGTGTGAAGGCTGCAGCTGTACAATGCTAAACTGCCATTGTGTCCTTAGGCAAGACACTTCACCCACACTGCAAAGAATATAGAATTAGTCTGGAGTGTGTGTGATGGGTCGGGGTCATGTCTCTTATCCTCTGTTGCTAAGCAGTTTGGTTTGTAGTTATGAATTAGATAAACTATGTGTCTCCCGACATAACCTCCCTCAATCCACATGTGATAGAACAATACTTTAGACAGAAATACAGTTTATATACTTGGATTTGATTTCTGTCTCATTTCCGTCGATGTGTCTGGTTCTGATTCACTTTGACGTGGTCCTGCTCTATAGAAGCCGCTGTCGTCCGCTGGACTTTAAACACTTTGACATTTACTTTAGACTTGGTTTATTCTGAGGGTTTGGTGTTAAAATCAGATGCTAGGTTCTTATTCAAAGTGTACTTTTGCTGTCAGCATCACTGAGATTAATCTTTTTGACATCTAACCCAAACATGGAAACAGAGTATTGATTAGAGAAGCGGTAATTACAAAGAATATGTAATGCTTTATGTAGTTTTGAATGATCTTTATCACAATCTTTTTTATTCTGTTGTTGACTGTATATTTAAACTTTTGTAATGTGATTTAACCCTATGTAGAATGGCTCCCAGGAAGACTAGCGACCTCTTGTGGATTCTAATAAATATATATTTTTAAAAAAAGCATATAAACTGTGAAAAGGTAAAAATATTGCTCAAAGTGTATTTATTGCTGTAATTCAGCTTAAAACATTAAACCAATATATGAGATTCAATTCAATGCATTTTCTTCGTCTCAGGACTTTACAAACTTGTCGATTCACCGTCAACAGATAAGAGAGTCAAACAGGAAATGCGATAATGGCAAAGTTAAGATTACACATATTGCTGATTATAAAAACTGAGGTACAGGTTTAAACCATCAACGTCTGGAGTTAACTGCTGATTTCATTACTCATTTCTGCAATTCGTTGTGTCTTTTCAATTTGAAGTAGCTATTTTTGGGTAATTTCAGAGAATTTTCTACCTCTGGGTCGAGGGCAGCAGCAGCCCCCAGTACACGGAGCACCAGCCCCAATTTCTATTTCTAAAAAATGAATTACTATTGACCACAACATATTATTTCTTTGCCTGGACTTGGAACTATTATTCTTAAAGGCCAAAAATAAGGTGTTACATTTCTTCTTTTAAACAAGCTGGTCTACTTCAATTAATAATAAGTTACTACCGAAAATAAAATCTGAATAAATCCATCGTTAGTCTCTGGTGGTTTATCTAAAGCTTTTTTACGAGCGGGTGGAACACGATGTAATTAATAGTGATAAGAAATGTATGCGACTCTGACTGGACTCCTGTTTAATGTTTAACCGCCTTCAGTGGGAGGAGGGAAACTGCATGTTGGCTCATACTTTGGTCAGAGCGAGTTGAAACAAAGAGACTTCAAACATGACTGAATTCCAATGAGTCTAACAACATGGAGCAACAAGGGTGTGCCTACATCTCGGAACAATATCTATACTGAATTTATACATTCTATTTTTAGAGGAAATTTGGTGTCTGGGTCGAGATTTTGGACATAATCTTGATAACAAGTCAATCAGTGGCTGGGAAATCTCTGCTTATACCAAATGTCCACAATGAGCGAAGATATGGAAGAGCTGGAGATGACCGAAGAGAAAGACTGGACTGAACTGGAGCCAAACTATGCGCTAAAAGTTTTTCTGACTATTTTATACAGCCTCATTCTGGTCACTGGCATCGTGGGCAACTCCATAACAATTCGAGTCACGCAAGTATTGAAGCAAAACGGTTACTTGCAGAAAAACGTCACGGACCACATGGTTAGCCTAGCATGCTCCGACTTGCTAGTCTTGCTAATCGGAATGCCGGTGGAGTTGTACAGCGCCATTTGGTTTCCGTTTTCCTCCGCTTCCGGGAATGCTTCGTGCAAAATCTACAACTTCCTCTTCGAAGCCTGCAGCTACGCCACCATCTTGAACGTGGCTACGCTTAGCTTCGAGCGCTACGTCGCTATCTGTCATCCGTTCAAGTTTAAGATGCTAGGCGGGAAGAGGACGTCCGGGTTGATTACGTTTGCCTGGTTGGTGTCCGTGCTAGTAGCTTTGCCGCTACTGGTGGCGACGGGAACGCAAGGGCATATTCCGATTCGCCAAGACACGCCGGTGCAGAATTTGACGTTTTGCACCAACCTGAGGGACCGATGGATGATGTTTCGCGTTAGCATCTTCATAGCGTTTTTGGTTTACATGATCGTGCTGGTCTGCGTGGCGTTCATGTGTCGAGCCATGATCCTGGTTTTGAGAAGACAGATGAGTTCTTCCGACAAAGACGCTAACGGGGGCCACGCAATGTCGAAGCACGAAAGTCCCAAACTGAAAATGGCCCGCAAGCAGACTATCATTTTTCTCGGTAAGACAACATTTTATTTACATTTATGTGTTTTTTTATCTAAGCATTTCTTGTGTTCAATTCTCTGATCTATGTTTGTAATTTCAACGGTTTTGTAAAGTCCTCCGAGATAACTACTGTTGTGATTTAGGGCGATACACGAATAAATTTACTTGAATTTAAATGAATTAATTACGTTGATCAAATTGCTGTGGTAAATTGGTCCTGGACTCCTGATGCCGTGGGTTGCTTCTGTTTACCACCATCGTGTTTGGAGTGAATGAATGTGTCCCAGAGCCTCATGCTGCTAATGCACAGATGTAAATATATAACTACATATTGCTTGCACTAGAATGCACAGTACTTTAGACTTGCCTCTTATTTTTCCAAATGCCAATTTGTTTTAATGAGTATAGCTTGGTCATTTATCTTTTGCTGTCTGCTCCTCATTCCTACTGTTCTATAACTTGTGATTCAACACTGAAATTTCCCTTCTGTGGGACGAATAAAGGAGCTCTTGATCGTAACTTTAATATTGTCATGTGAAGTGAACCAATGCATTATTATTATTTCTATTATTATTAGCACCAGCTCCAACGGAAATTTCTCTGATCACAGGGCAATCCTTACATGCTTAAATATAAATTCAAACTTTTTAAAGCATGTAAAAAAAAAGTCATTTGCTTCAAAAGATGTCCAGACCATAGACTGTGGTCCAGACCATAGACTGTGGTCCAGACCATAGACTGTGGTCCAGACCATGGGGTCCAGACTTGTTCACTTGTCTTCAGTTGTTTGGACAAAGTGATGTATTTTCGGCTCTTGTGAATGAGCTCCTGACCCTAAACTAAACACAAATCAATGGAAACACAACATCTGTTCTTTCCACCTGTCAACGAGAAATGAAAAGAGCTTCACGGGCTCCACGACCACCTGGTCTCGTGAACAAACAATGAATGGATTTGTAGAAGGATTTCTGGGTGATATTTTGTTTTAACTTTGGAAACATAATTCTATCACAGACCACGTCATCATTTCAGAAAACAACTTTTACACACTGTGCAAAGAGTGAAGGAGCCCTGAGAGGCACTATAGAGAGAGAGAGAAAGAGGGGGATAGAGAGAGCGGGGGGATAGAAAGAGGGGAGGCAGAGAGAGAGAGGGGATTATGAGGGGTATAGAGAGAGAGAGAGAGAGAGAGGGATAGAGAGAGAGGGATAGAGAGAGAGAGATAGAGAGAAAGAGGGGGGTGGAGATAGAGAGAGGGTGGGGAAAGATAGGGAGAGAGGGAGGGAAATAGAGGTGGATATACATATAGAGGGAGAGGGGGATAGAGAGAGAGAAAGAGGGGGATAGAGAGAGAGGGTGGGGATAGTAAGGGGATAGAGATAGAGATAGAGGGAGGGAAAGAGAGGGGGATAGAGAGAGAGAGTGAGAGAGGGTGAGGATAGTAAGGGGGATAGAGATAGAGAGAGAGAGGGAGATAGAGAGAGCGAGGGGGCTAGCGATAGAGAGAGAGAAAGACATTGATATTGAAGCATTTACAGCTACAGCAGCTACTTACTATATATTCTGTGTCTCTCACTGCTGTCCTGGCTGTGCGCTGCAACACTGACATTTCCCCACTGTGGCTCTTATAAAGGGTCTCTTACCTTATCTTATCTCATTATCCCCACTCTGTAGCATCTTCTTTAAAGTGTTTAAAGGTGTGACTCTTAATCCCGTCTGCTGTGACGTTGTGAGTACCTGAAGGACGCTCTCGCACACAGGACATGGGGTTAATTACTTTGTCGTTTTTTTTCTTCTGTCTTTAGTCGAGAGCGGATTGTGAAGAGAATATTAACAATGTTTTGCTGCTTCAAGACCTTTAACCTCCACAAAACCGGCCAGAGAATATCGCGTTTCCACAGAATTTAGATTTAATTGAGATTTTTTATTTTTTTTGCTTCGTCAAATGCAGTTAGTTTTGAGATTGCTTTTGATGAGAGATTATTTTTGACTGATTTACAACCGAATAATTTTATTTTTACTCTTTTTAATGCATCGTTGTTATTTTTTTTTATTATTGTAATCCCTTGTGTGACTTTAATGGTTTTAATTACCTGTGTGATTTTAATGGTGTTCTTAATGGTGATTTTGGTGTTTGTTTTATGTGATGATTTGTGCTTTGTGTGGCGCTGTGCAGGAACATCACTCTATAGATAAAGAATTGATTGATTGTAAATATATAAATATAAATATTAAATAGAGTAAAAACCAGCTGCAGTATTTGCCCGATAGTTTTACCATGAGGAGTACATTTACAATATCAATATGATGCATTTCTAATTACAACTTGTCATCTCCAAATGAAGCGGGAAAGAAGTCAAAACTTGTAGAATCCGACCTCATGAACATACTTTAAATACATGCAAGAATTTAGTCATTTAGCTTTGAATAAATTATTAACTTCAAATAATTTAATAAAGCTCAATCTAAAGCAATGATCACTGTGCCCCAACAAGGCCCAGGCCAGTCCAACCCAGGCCAGTCGAACCCAGACTGGTCCAACCCAAACCAGTCCAACCCAGGCCAGTTCAACCCAGACCTGTCTAACCCAGACCGGTCCAACGCAGGCCAGTTCAACCCAGGCCAGTTCAACCCAGGCCAGTCCAACCCAGGCCAGTCCAACCCAAGCCAGTCCAACCCAGGCAAGTCCAACCCAGGCCAGTCCAACCCAGGCCAGTCCATCCCAAGCCAGTCTAACCCAAGCCAGTCCAACCCAAGCCAGTCCAAACCAAGCCAGTCCAACCCAGGCCAGTCCAACCCAGGCCAGTCCAACCCAGACCGGTCCAACCCAGGCCTTTTATCTTGTTTTATCTTATGTACTTACTTACACTGGGATACGTTTGCACATTTATTCCAATGTGGTTTTACTGAAAATAGAAAACAAACTGAATCTGAATCTATAGTGATCTTTAAATATGACGCTAAATAATATCACGAAGAAAAATCTGTATTTTTTTTAACCAAACCGATTCTTTTCGAGAACTATTCTAACCCATCCTCTCTGAGCTCATGGTCTCTGGGGGCGCGTGTCTGGAGGCTGTGGTTTGGTGAGTGGCAGCTGATGGTGCCGTGTGTTTTGGCCCAGAGCGCTGTTCTGAAGGCAGACTCACACTGACAGGACCTGGACCGGGAGCCTCCAGGACCAGGAGCCTCCAGGACCAGACCAACTCAAAGAAATGGTTTTTGCATGAGACTTTTTTTCATTGGTTGACTGTAAAAAATACTTCAAAAGCTTTAAACAGATTTATGATTTATGATTTATGAGGTGGGTTAGAATAATATTCCACATTAAGATGGATTTCTTGTATCTTTATTGGAAACATCCTGGACGAAAGTGACATTGCATTATACAGAAACAATTCATACAGATACGGAAGTAGAGAGAGGTGTGTGTATACGTGTATGTGTGTTTGTCTGTGTTTCTCATGTTTAAAAGGCAAAATCAACACACACAGACACAGAAAAAAGTGATGATAAATAAGTGAAAAACTGACAAAATGTGTCTGAATTTGACCACATTTTGACTGCCTCAAAATAAGAGAAATTTAGATGTAAAAAAGAAATTCTGATAAAATGCCTTTGTCCCATTGGAGAATCTAGTTTTATCACAGTCAATGTGTAAGTTTTAAAAAACACTCAATTCAAGCAACTTTTACCTCATATTTTATCATTTTTTTTGCAGTGAATGCCTCAGGTGTGTTTAAAAAAAAAAGAAAAATGACTGCATATTATTCTAAACCAAACCCTTTGTGTCTTCTCAGTATCATGACAAACAGAATGACTTCAACATAAACAGTTTTCCGGAGCTCGCTTTGTTTAAAAAGTGCCTTTTGTTCAGCGTCATTTTCCGCACAGATGTTTGAAGCATAGTTTTACAGCATCAGAGTCTCGTCGTCCTCCTGGAGCTAAAAACTCCTTTTTATTTTTTCATTTTGTAAATGAGAACTTGCCCATCTGGATCCGGCAAGACTGGTCTCACCGGATCCAGTGCTGGAGGGGGCGCTACAGGCTGCAGCAGCGACTGAGTCTGAGACAGAGAAGGAACTCGCACAGAAGAATGAGGAGCTGCTATAGAGCGGCAGGTGGCTGAGTGGTTAGCACTGGGTTCGAATCCCGGTCGGAACAGGACCTTTTTGAGTGGATGGTGCATGTTCTCCCCGTGTCTGTGTAGGTTTCCTCCGGGTGCTTCGGTTTCTGGCTTGCGTCTCCTGAATGGCGGACCTCGCTCTCATCTCTGTGTGGAGTGAGAGACAAATGTGAGAGGAAAGAAAACAATTATAAAGCGAGTTTCTTCTGCAGTGACTGGCGCTCTTAGGGATAGGGTGAGGAGCTCGGACTAGAGCCGCTGCCCGGAGGGGAGACATTTCTTGTATCTTGTTTTCTCTTATTTTAAGGCCGTCAAAATGTTGATGGCCAATTTTGAGCATTTTTTATTTATTTTTAACCCCCTTTTCTGGGCATGTCCCTCTGTGCTCAGGACACAGAGGGACTGTGTCTGTCAGCTGGGAACGCCTCAGGATTCCCCCAGATGAGCTGCAGGAAGTGTGTGTCTCTGCTCAGACTGCAGCCTCTGCGACCCGGAAACAAAAACACTTTAGAAAATGGATGGATGGACTTAAGAATATTTTACTGATGGAACATAGCATGATGCTAAATCTGGTGTAGCCATCTTTTTAAAGTAACTTCTCATGACAAAACTGAATATTTACCCAAATCTTGAAGTGAACTAGTTTGTTTATTTAAAGGACAGCTTTCCTTTAAAAAAACAAACCTCATAAAGATCGGGGTAAATGTACAGTTGTTTCATGGAATCGCAACATGGATTGGGAATTCATGTCAGAACACATTGCTTTAGGTGACTGCCTAAAATCAACATCTGTCAAAATACAATCAGATTCTGCCTTATAATATTTTTAGTCTCTGAGTCGATATTCATAAATACAGCCCAGCACACAGCGCACGCATGAATTCCCA